ATTAAAATGACAATTTATAGTGTACAGTCTACAAATTATAACAAGACAAGTGACATGCTCAGAGAAAACCAAATATTTACTTTGCAGCCATATAATCACCGTATGACATTATCAACATTACTATATGGCTTCCCATCTACTCAGCCTTTAAGTTAAAGCTATGAATTACTGTTATTTGCAGTGGCAAGATTAGAAAAATTTGAATTGAGTCCACTGGTTTCATCTAGTAGTCTGTGTTTTTGTGTCTAAGTCTGTCAGTTTTTCTTACTGCTAGTGGGGTGGGACTAAGTCCCTTGTACTGCGGCCACTTCTGGCCTATTGTACCAGCCTCAGATGATAGGTGAGGGTTATTGTGGAGCAATTGGTGGAATGAAGATTGGGAGGGGAAACCGAAGCGCTCGGAGAAAACCTGCCTCAGTGCCACTTTGTCCACCACAAATCGCACTTTACCAGACCCGGGATCGAACCCGGGCCGCTGATGTGGGAAGCCAACGACTAACCACTTGAGCTATGGGCGACCCAAGTCTGTCAGTTAATGAATACAATTTTTTTTTAATTAGAACTGGTTGTTCTTTTCAATGAATGCACTCAATAAGCATACTCATGTTTGTTTACCGTCATAAAGGACCACGAATGGAGACTGCATTTCTTTCTGCTTCTGCCGCAAGAGGCTAAGTGTTCCGAGTGGATGTCTGTTGAGCTCATCCGTTTCATCAACTGGAAACAAGAAAAAAAAATTAATCTCCTTCAGATGGGGCACAGTCTGTTTGGCTCTGTAACTGATTATCGTAACAGCTTGTCAAATTTTAAGTTAGTCTGCTGCTTGAAGTCATCAATTTCTCCCAATTTTCAACCCATGGTCTGTGTCTATGTCTAGTAGCCTAATGACAACTGAACAAATATGCTACGTGTTTTATGAGGAGGCTCCATCTTACATGCCACAAAGTTGCAGTATTCGCTTCTGTCCCAGGACTGAAGCTACTGTGTATGTTTGTAGTCAGCAGAAAATGAATGCACGAAAAGTGTGGATGGATATCTATCTGCTATGTGGAATCGTGGGTATGTAGCGATAACTAAAATTTGCTTCCTTATGGAGCACCATTTAGAAATAGCATCAGATGGTTTCACAGTCTCATGTGCAGCATGTCCTTTTATAGAACTCTCTAGAAGTTATTCGTACATGTTTTGACCTATAAGGTCATTATCAGGTGTTTTAAAATTATAAATGAGGAAACTGCTATGCTTCCATATTGTGGTTGTTGCTCATCACTATGTGGTACCTTCTATGCGCATGTAGACATGAAGTGGCGGGTTGCTCTGCCTGCTGTGTTATGCAGTGCAAGAGGGACACGCAGCATAACATCCCGCCACTTCGTATCTACATGCGCATAGAAGGGACTGCATAGTGATGAGCAACAACCACAATATGGAAGCACAGCAGTTTCCTCATTTATAATTTTAAAACACCTGATAATGACCTTATAGGTCGAAACATGTAGTGAATAACTTCTAGAAAGTTCTACAGAAGGACATGCTGCACGTGAGACTATGAAACAATTTGGTACTAAATGAAGTGCAGCAGAGTGCTACACGATACTAAAGTAAAGTAAAGCTACCACTGTAACAGGCCGTGGGGACCCATACGGTTGTGAGATGTTGAGGTTCCCACATTTTCTAGACAATCGGCTGACAGATGGTGGCAAGATTGTCAGCCCTATACCCCCAAGAATATTCCTGGTACTCACTTCTGTTAGAGGCTGAGTCGACCCCAGGGGCCATAGTGCAGCTGGAAGGATTAGGTCAACTGAAAATAATCCAATGACTTCATCAGGACTTGAACCCATGACTTTCCGGCTTGTATTAGAAATAAAAGCTCATGACCAGATCTGGACTGATACTCACTCCCTCCTGTTCAGTTTTCTTCATTCGTTTCTCCACTTTTTTTTGTCAGGTCCCTTTCCATGAAATTCATGAGACAGGTAGCTGAAATCAGAAATAGAGACAACATTAAAGTCACTGTATCTTAGGATCCTACAGAATGTGGCCATGTTTCCAAGTAACATGTAAAATCCTTCCAAGCTGAAGTTTCAGCCAGAAAAAGGGTATGATCCATATATAGTTCAATCTGTTATTTTGTGAAATAATAAAAATATGTAACATTCTGTATTCCAACACAACTTACTCATGATTAACACAAAATATTTTGATAAAAGTACAATGGGACAGTAATAATTTTGAGGCATGTTTCTTCCTAATTCATGCAACCTATCTGCAAAATGAACCATTCTGCCACATTCTATGCCTACACAACAAACTGTATCAAGTACGAAGTATTTAGACACTAAAATCTAGTTACAAACTGTCACATACAGAGTGGGAGAAAAGGAAGTCGAAACAACAAGTTCTACCAAAAGCATATGAGGTGGAAGGCAATAATCTCAGCACCCTTGATAGGGTAATCATGATAGTACCGGTAAGCAGAGGGATGCTACAATTTAACATGGGCTCTAACCCATTGAGGGGGGGGGGCATCCTTTGTATTCCTGAAGCTCAAACTCTGGTAGATGTAAAGGCATCATCTGTGAGCAGAAAAATCTGTACACAGATGCGAGTGGGGTTCGAACTCAAAATCTTTTGAATGGGTATAACATCTTAGCCCAAGACCTTTTTCTTAAGGACCTAATTTAAGTGGCTCTAGTGTTGCTCCCAACTCAGCCACCATGTTAATATGGCTGATGGTAGACAACTAAAAGAACATGTGAGTGGCACGATGACACTACAGAGTTCCACATAAAGCCACCAGTTGGTTCACACATTATCGTGAGGATGGCACACATGGATGATAAACACGGTAGTCCTATAATCTTATCTGTTTCCACTGAAAAACTGCTTCCTCCTTGGATTTTTTTTTTTTAAATGGCAATTACTGTGGAAAATTTTTCTACTCTAAAGAATGTACTACCATTGGACAGGCTACCCTCCACAGTGTGACCTACCTTAAAAACAGATATGCTATTATCTGTGCTAACCTGAAAGCTTCCTTTGCATTAAGTACGTGTCCATCATCATCTGTGTAGTTGAGTCTAACATTCGGTTTGTAGCCCTCCTTTTCTTAGAAGTCTGAGGTCGGACCAATGTAGCACTCGCAACGCCCAAACATTTCATCTCTGAAAAAGATAAAGCAATGCTGTATATTAAATTCTTGCTTGCTTACTTCGTCCTGTCTTGCCCATCATTTACACCTCCCTAATACTAAAGTGGGTCAATCCCGAGAGACAAGACAAGACAAGACTTGCAATCCAGTTACAAAGGAGATGACGACATATTCAAAGCTCAGATATTCTTTACCCTTCAAAATCTCCTACTTGACTCAATAACCAAAGCAAGTGGCCGATCCTTGTGCCCATGACAACTCTCTTCCCTAAGGCCTACTGTGGAGAAGACTTGACAGCTACAGGACAACTTAGGTGACTTAGTCCGCAGCCACCAGCTCACGCTAGTTCCTCACTTGTGGAATTTTATATCCTGAAGATGGAGGCGATATATTCCTCCAAAACATTGGTTTACACAATATCTATACGGCGCCACATCCCAGATGACGGCATTCTTCATAAGTGACATTCATTACTTACCAAGACACTATACAGTAAAGAAAAGTAAAATTATCCCTGTAACAGACTGTGGAGGTCCATAGGGTTGTGAGACGTTGAGGTTCCCATATTTTCTAGACAATCGGCTCACAGATGGTGGTGAGGTTGTGAGCCTTACAAACCGGCTGAACTTTACCCCCACGAAAATTCCTGGTACTAATTTCTGTTAAGAGGCTGAGTCGACCCCAGGGCCATAGTGCAGCTGAAAGGATTAGGTCAATTGAAAAAAATAATGACCTCATCGGGGACTTGAACCCACGACCTTCCAACTCGACCAACTATCCTACAGCTCCTAATATTAAACAGTAATGATTAATGTGTTTCTACTAAAACCCCTAACAAAACTGCAGTATATGATTAAATATGGTACACCATTTATGAAATACTTTAAATATAAACGCACAATTAAAACCAATACTAAAGTGTCAGTATCTCTTAATTTGAATAGGCCTATGTTGTACATAAAGAATCTGCTAGTGACTCACCAGTCTCAACCTTATTCCAAGCTCCACGTTTGCCTTCTTCTTCCTGAGGTTTCTTCTCTTCAATCATTTCCCTCTCAAAGTCCTGTAATGTAAATTTTGTATGAGACTGGCAGAACGCAAATGCGCAGGCCAAAAATTACCAATTCATTACCTTGAGATAGACTGACACCTGAACTGCTTACCCACCAAACACTGTACATAAAATTACTGCACTGTAAAGTACTGACTGCTCTGTGTAGGAGTTGAGCTTCCGACAGCAGTGGTTTGGAAGATTTCTGTCATCTGGGATATAATGCCGTGTAGTCTGTCGAAAGTCAACACACATTTTGCAGAAACATGTCACCACCATCTTCAGGGTTGAAGAATAAATCAAGCCAGAAACCAGCGCTGCCAGGTAACAAAGCCAAGCTTCCTACCTGCTTCATGTTGGCTTCTTGNCGCACAATTAAAACCAATACTAAAGTGTCAGTATCTCTTAATTTGAATAGGCCTATGTTGTACATAAAGAATCTGCTAGTGACTCACCAGTCTCAACCTTATTCCAAGCTCCACGTTTGCCTTCTTCTTCCTGAGGTTTCTTCTCTTCAATCATTTCCCTCTCAAAGTCCTGTAATGTAAATTTTGTATGAGACTGGCAGAACGCAAATGCGCAGGCCAAAAATTACCAATTCATTACCTTGAGATAGACTGACACCTGAACTGCTTACCCACCAAACACTGTACATAAAATTACTGCACTGTAAAGTACTGACTGCTCTGTGTAGGAGTTGAGCTTCCGACAGCAGTGGTTTGGAAGATTTCTGTCATCTGGGATATAATGCCGTGTAGTCTGTCGAAAGTCAACACACATTTTGCAGAAACATGTCACCACCATCTTCAGGGTTGAAGAATAAATCAAGCCAGAAACCAGCGCTGCCAGGTAACAAAGCCAAGCTTCCTACCTGCTTCATGTTGGCTTCTTGTTTCATTTATTCTTTTACCCTGAAGATTCAGGGGACATGTTCCCCTGGAAATTCGGATGATACCCCAGAAGAAAGCATTCTTCTGACTGTACTGATCTTCTTGAAACTTCTTTGCCAAAATATCTTTTTAATATCATAGCATGCTTAAAGTTACAGATCTATTAGAAACACACTCTCATTCTGCCAAGCAATGTACACCTGACGATTAACATTCAATTCACTTTGCAATGAATAAAATTACAAGAACTATTTGTTTTTCATTTAGTCATGTTCTGAGCTATTTATTCATCCCTATTTCAATTTCACATGTTAATTCCTAGCAGCGTCTTTTCTACCCTTGTATCATGCACATGGCAGGGAGAAAAATAAATAAAAGCTGGGAAAAGAAGACTGGATTTGAGATTCTTGTAGAGGACATTGAGAAAGGCACTATCTTCTGGGAAGTAACATCCTGTAAGTCCACTGACACTCCTTCAAAATGCTTATGGACCTTATCACATTACACGGAATTTTATTCCAGAAGGTACCACTTGTCAAGAAGAAGAAGAAAAAGGTTCTACCACCTCAACTATCACATTCTTACTGTATATCGAGTTCTTTCATTTCTAGGGTTTCTGTTGGATGTTTCCATTTCAATAATTTATATATCCATTATCATGGAATTCAACTGCAATTAAAATACATTTTAATTCTGTTGCAGCTGCAGTAAATAACTGTAGATGGGCAATGGACTGTATCTGGTCTTGACACATGCTAAATCAAAGTGCCTTGCCAAGTGTACATGTATCTGCAGAGGGTTATATTGCACTTGCAAGTAGTTCCTAAACGTCCTCATCTCTGTTGCCAGCCAGACCATAAGCAGGGATGTCACCCAACCTACGGCAGAATTCTGCTGTAGCATTCAGCACAATGGAACCACCTTCCGTGTTTCCTCCTGAGCTTCTCTCCAGTACTGACTCTGCCACCTACAAACATCACAAATCACAAACAGTCAAATTATGTAGCTATACAGCGTTCTGTTTTGTAGTATCGATAAATGCAAATGTGCCCTATGCTTAATTGGTTATGCTCTAGATGGAGGTGAGTGGCCAGTTCCATGCCACTCCCACAACCGGGGAAACAGCCCCCGGGTTCATATTTGACAGGAGGCCATAACACGTCTCAATAACCAAAATACAAGAAAGGATGACAGTATAAAAAAGTAAAGCTATCCCTGTAACAGGCCGTGGAGGCCCACAGGGGTGTGAGACATCAAGACTCCCATACTTTCTTGACAATAAGCTAACAGATGGCAGTGAGGTTGTCAGCCTTAAATGCCCGCCTCCCATTTAACCCCCAAGAATATTCCTGGTACTCATTTCTGTTGGAGGCTGAGTTGTCCCCAGGGTCATAGTTTAGCTGAAGGATTTGGTCAATCAAAAAATCCAATTACCTAACTGGGAATTGAACACATGACATTTCAGTTTGTAGCACAGTAAGAAAGGATGATGATATTACTTAAATGTGACGATATGATTTACTAGTTTGAGGCCCACCAAAACAAACTGTGAGAGAAACAATTTAGTAGCCCTCAGGTTAAATTACAATGTAGTTTCTCTAGGGTACAATGGTTTTGTACAGTAACCAAGGAGGAAACATCATAATGAACTTTACAACAAAGTTCTGTGCAACATTTTATAACTGGAAAATATGGAGACACTGTTTAGGAACTAAACATGGCAAAGGACTGTAGCTAGGGACAATTTCATCACCTCCCACTATCTATCCATAGGGCTGTTCCTCTCTTGTCTTGGGAACAAAAAGCAGAGAGGCAGGTGAGGGGAATATGGCCTTGACTGAACAAGAGAAATGACCCCTATTACAGCCAAACATTTGCGAGAAGGATTAAAAAGAAAATCTGCCGATGTGATGTACCTTTTCTACACTGTTCTTTGATTCTGTAACAGCCTCCTGCAGTTTCAGTCTCTGTGCTTTCTTGAGGGCTACCTGCAGCTCCAGTTCGCTGTCATTGGGCTCAATCTTGATGTTGGACAGTGTCTCCTCTGGCGCTGAAAGTTGTGTCCGATTATTAATAACATTCAAAACTGCTCCTGCACTACATTTCCTTTCATGATTTCACAACACACTTCGTAGCGGAAACTATATAGTATAAAATGGCCAATGATTAGTAAATAATGTATTCAAAAAAAGTCTTGGTGCTTGTCACCTGATTAGGGATACCAAGTCCAATCAACATTTGCCTGGTGGTATTGTGAAAAACCATGAAAAAACCTAAGTCGGGTTAGCCAGATATTCCAGCGGAGATTCATGAACACAAGAAACCAGTTCCCTTTTTACTTTTTTTTTAATTGTGGAAGTAACTAGTCTGTACTTACGGTACGATTGGGCGCGTTTATCTCTTCTTGTAGCAGTTCAATAATTTTTTGTGCTGATCTGAGTTCTACTTTAAATTTTTGATAACAAGCACTCTTTACCTCACTTGTTTCATTACTAGCTTTGATGAAAACTTGAGTGTTATCACCATTAACCACTCAGGAAACTGCCATTTTGGATATCAATAAGAATGATGATTGATGGATCGATGGTGATCGATCTCTCGGGAATTTCTAATGCAGCTCCTAATAATTTTGTACAAACACCAAAATTATTCAACTTATAAAATAATTTATACTGAACATCACACAGCTCTCGTACGCTGAGTGCCATTAAACTACAAGAACAAAAAGGACTCTATCTGTAACCGATAGATGGGAAATGTGAATATATCAGAGGGAATTTCTCAGTCGGATATATGGCTGCCCTATGCACGCCCATTTTTTTTTTTCCATGACTCACTTCCGTTCACTTCCGACTTGGTTTTGCGATTGCTTTCAGTGTTATTGTGAGAAAGTTTTGTATCATATTTGACAAAATGGTAAAAGCAGAACACGACGATGGAGATAAAACGGAGCCCGAACACACACGGAAACTTTTTATTGGTGGAATTGATTATAAAACTACAGATGCATCTCTGAAAAAACATTTCGAACAGTGGGGCGAGATTGTCGATGTTGTTGTAATGAAGGACCCACAAACCAAGAAATCGCGGGGGTTTGGCTTTGTTACATACGCTCGTGCCCACATGGTGGATGATGCCCAGAATGCTCGGCCGCATAGAGTAGATGGGAGAGTTGTAGAGCCCAAGAGGGCTGTACCTCGACAGGAAATCGGTCGACCAGAAGCCGGTGCAACTGTAAAGAAGCTGTTTGTTGGTGGTTTGAAGGAAGATATGGAAGAAGAGCATCTTAGGGAATATTTCAAAGCATTTGGCTCCATTGTGTCCTGCGCCATCGTCATTGATAAAGAGACTGGAAAAAAGAGAAGTTTTGGTTTCGTTGAGTTTGATGATTATGACCCTGTTGACAAGGTATGTCTTCAGAGAACACACTTAATTCAGGGGAAGAACATTGTCGTCAAGAAAGCCCTTAGTAAGGCAGAAATGGCGAATCATGGGCCAGGAAGTCGATTTGGTGGTATGGGTGGCGAAGGCGGAGGTGGGGGTCGTGTTAGTGGTGGTCGTCACGGTGGCCCACGAGGTAGCATGGGTGGCCCCTGGGGTGCCCGAGGTGGTGATGATTGGAATTCTGGAGGAGGGGGCTTCAACGATGGTGGATGGGGAGGTGGTGACACATGGGACAACCGTGGTGGCCCTGGTGGTGACTGGGGTCCAGGAAGCGGTGGCGGAGGACCAGGTTTTGGCAGTAGAGGTGGCAATTGGAGCAATGACAGTTTTGATGGCGGCTACCAGCAGAATTATGGTGGAGGGCCAATGCGTGGTAGCTTTGGTGGTGGTGGGGGAAGGCCTGGCCCATATTCAGGTGGCGGCGGTGGATATGGCTCGGGTGGTGGAATGGGAGGGTATGGCGGAGGTGCACGTCGGTACTGAACCAGCACAGATACAACTTGTGCCTTTATTGGTACTTCTACTGCTGTATTGTGATTATGTTACATGCGCAGCCATGGGTCAGAAAGAGCCTGGTGAATGCAGGACGGTGGCAAGCACTTTATCCATTCAGTACTGCAGAGGCATAGAGAGACAATCTGACAGTCCCATTTGCATCAAGGCATGTGTTTTCTTCTTGATGATGGTTCCAATTTTCAAAAGGAATTATTGGACACACCGTTTTAATTGTGAGGATCAGATCGAACAATAGCAGCTGTACCCTCAAACTAAAATAATTTGAACTGTGTCAGGTGTAGCGAGGATTGATTGATTTCCACGATTCTGCTTTCTTTTATGCTGCACACACTATTTGTTCTTAGATGTTTGTATAGTTTAATAAAATAACTTTTGTTTTCCCATATTAAATATGCCCTTTTTCCCATAAATGCATAGTTGCTGTACACAGTGTTAAGACATTAATTCTGGGTGTGTATCAGTATTACATGAATAGAAACACTGGGTTCACATGTAACAGAGTTGTGTTTTTATTGGTGAATTTAACAGTGGGCGTGTATTGCTCATAAACAAAGTCTTTTGCCTTGTCAAAATGCTAACACATGCTTATACTGACATTCAAGACTGGTTATGGAACAATATATGCATTAGACTGAGGCCACTTTAGATGTACAGCTCTGTTGTTCAGAACAATTTGGAGGCCATTCCTTGTGTTAGTAAATAAAATTTATGTGTTCAGTAGTATTCATCACAGTGCCATTGAAGAGATGTGAACACTCAGATTGAAAATAACAGTGCACGCCCATTGTTTTGGGATTTTTTCCTTTTTCCCTTTCACAGCCCAAATTATTTGTGGACTGATCTTTGCCAATTAAGAATGGGTTAGAAGACTGATAAGGCAAATTTTCATACTCTAACCAGCTGGGGTGCACATGGTAGCATGGTAGAAGTACCGCACTATAAGCCAGAAACTTGTGGTTTCAATTTCTGATGAAGTTGTTTGATTTCTTAATTGACCTAATCCTTCCAGGCATACTGGTCCTGGAGTTGACTCAGCCTCTAGCAGAAACAAATTTTTGTTGTGAATAAGGCAGCCAGCATGAAAGGCTGACAACCTTGCTGCTATCTGTGAGCCAATTGTCTAGAAAATGTGGGAGCTTTAACATCTCAAAATCCTATGGGCCTCCAAGATATTTGTTTTATTAAAATTTCTCTGTCTTGGTTAAAACCGGACACAAACAGACACTACATGAAAATACCCATGATCATTCGTGTGCATATGTTGAGTATAACTTGCTAAATACATCAAACCCTCGTTATGATGGACAAAATCTGGCAAGGCGTTAGGTTTTTAAATAAACTTGCATGAAAACCAAAAAAGGTGAGTGAAATAAATTGAATTTGTTTAATATTTGTGTAGGACACGAAGTTGTGTTCTGTACACTTATCAATTTTGTTTTATACTGCACTGTACAATTGTGAATATTTAGAGATGTTGAGGCACTAGGAAGGTTAGAAAATATTTAAAATAAAAGAACCCCAATATAAAAATCTTAATATAGTCGCATAGTCTTTTTGTGTTTATTGCATGTAGTGGCTATGTATCCTTTGGTGTGCTTCTGTGAATACCCTTCACATGGTCATAGCAGACATCGGCTGTCCACCCTATTAGTCTGTTAAAATAAGGGTGTATAAGTCCTAACAGTTATCAAGATAATTAAACAAAAGGATGCACACTTGCCAAAATTCTTAGCTATGTATACATTTCCTGACCATATTTTTTAATGCAGTTACTTCAGCTCATAAATTATTTCTTTCTTTGTGTGTTCTTTGCATTAAGTGCACAAAATTAACACACATGAAGTCAGATCAATCTGTATGCCTGCACTTCTCCCACCACACATACTGACCATGAGAAAATTTGGTATTTGGAGATCCATTAGCTGGGATAGCTCATGGGGTATGGTGGATATGGGCTTAACACCCATGTAGTCCGGGATCATTTCAAGGCTGTAAGATTTTCTCTTTCACAGTATCCAGACTGAATCTGGGGTTCACCCAGCCTCTTATCTAGTGTATAATGGCAGATCGTTCTTGGGTGGCGGGGGAGGGGGGGGCTAAAGTGAGCAAGGCATGAAAGTTGTTCTCCAGTGCAGCATTCCATGTGCCCAGGAAGTTGATTCAAGCAGTATTGCTTCTGGCTTGTATTTATGAAAAGCCACATTCAAATTTCAACTGGAGCAATGACTGTACCAACTTAGGATCCTAGGGATTTTCCTCAGTCCATCCTGGAAAATTCTAGGATAATACCTGTGATGACTAACAAAGAATTTCCAATTCATTATTCATCATCAGGGTGCGGATTTTGATGACTTGAAAATATTTAAAAAAATGACTGAAAAAATCCAGGAAAATTACCTAAAATATGACCCAAAAATGTAATATGTAGGGCCTGGATTTTGATGACCTGAAAATATTAAAAAAAATGACCTAAAGGAGAAGAGAAAAACACTTTGCTTCCATGTTATTCACATTTCAGAAAATATGAAGAAAAATTCCTTAAAATGGCCAAAAATGACAAGAAATACCCTTAAATTCCAAAAAATTACCTATAAAATTTACATTTCTGTAACCAGCAGCTCATATCTGAGATTTATATATTTAAGAGCATCGCATAGGATAAAGGAAAAAAAAGAATTACATGTCATCAAAATCCGGGCCCTGATCATCATCATCCTACCATTTAACATGACATAGTCTGAGATACTCACAGTGTCCTTCCTTAAACCATAAATATATAATGTACTGTATGTATATGTATATAGTTATTTCAGCATTAATTTCTTCCTTTTGAGGGTCTTTCTCAGTTTAGTTCTCCAATCCAGCATTCTCCAGAACTGTCTAACTGTACGAGTGTTGGCACAGAGCACCGATAACTGTGCCATGCTTCAGGAAATGAAACTGTTTTATATCACACTTTATACAATTCAGTATGATAAAAACTATTGTATTACTTCATTATATCATATCCATATTAGAGGTATCAACGAGGGTGTTCTCAATGGCACAGAGTTGTACAGACTGAGATCTGATGTTTTCACAGTGGTGAGTATTCAGATTGTCGTCGTCTGGGTTGAGACACTGCAGTCTTGAGTGCACGGTATTCAGAGCATCAGGCTGCCTTCATCTTTCAGAAGGACTATGCCCACACACAACAGCACATGGCGTCACAATCCAGAAGAATACAATCTGAAATAATGTTTTGTTCTTGAAGGAGAAACTTGAGAAAATTTATAATTTACCATAGACATGGGCTGTGGCAACCTTTTAAAAATTAACCCAATAAATGTAACACAGCTTCCTTGAAAAAGGGAAAGTTACTCAGTAGGACAGGATGTTTTCTACTTTTACATAATCTGAAGGTTTATGACTGTATGCCCCTACCCTGGGCTAGTTTCATCCAATCCAAACCCTCACATTCCATTATTTATCTACTTTAATATTATCTTCCTATGCATCCAAAATGGACTCCTTTCCTGGTTTAAAAGTTTAGAGATTCAAATACTCCAAACAAATCACACCCCTCTCCAAAACCTAGTCTTTAAAAGTGATCAAAGTTAACCTTTTCTTTCTATTCTAGTATTATTTCCTTCTTATACAGATCAGTGAATAAAATGTCTTTTTTCTTTCGTCCTACAGTCTTTCCTTTCTAATTTGTTGCCAGCTCATCCCTTTCTTCTTAAGGTTCTAAATCATCTTTAGCTGGGTCATCTTACAGGTCTGTTGGCATGATACACAGGATCACCACATAACAAGAACCCTGAAAACTACTGGTACTACAAAAAACCTGTTACAGGCCAAGCAAGCTGAACATAGATGTCAATAATGCTTTCAAAATGATGAACAGCCTCAAAGAGAATTGGTTTATGTTTGTTTTGATTAGATTCCAAAGCAAGAACCTGAAACTTCCAACTGTTGCAGTGTAGAATCTGTCAAGGAAATCTTGCAGCATGTTTGCCATGTTATGTTACTGGAGGAGACTCAATTTCAAAAACAGGAGATAACACCATATGTTCATACCTTCTTTCATGTATAGCAACTTGTTCTGTGAGTTTGTGGAGCAGTTGCAACAAGATGACGTGTGGCAAGCCAGGTTTTTCGTTTTCCTCACAACACAAGTGTGATGCTCAACTTGAGGTTGATTTATTTCATCACTTTACCCTTTACCTCCTGCACTTCACTTCCCTCACTATTCTGCTCTGAATCAGTTCCTGTTCCTTTTCTGTCTTTTTCTCCCATTCAATCTGTAGAGGGACAGATTCCTGACTTCACTCGAACTACTACTGATTCAATGAGCCATATTTCTCCCATTCACTCTGTTCTTTGAAAACCATTTCAAGGGCCAATACTGTTTCACTGCTTTCCTAAATCCTATTGGTTCATTCATGGCTCTGGTCCCATTGTATTCATACCAGGCATGGTCTTCTACCCTGAAGATGGAGAGGGAGGGTTCTTCCAAAACACTGACAGCTATCTACCCAATGGCATTCCAGAAGACAGTAATCTTCATGAGTTGATTTCACAACAAGAAATGACTATAACTTGCTAATAAAGGGCTCTAGTCCACAGCCTGTGTTCCCCATACAGAAACTGAAATTTTCTTTAAACCAATCTGCTGAATTCTGCGTCATTTGACAATGAAGTGTTCTGAAGTATAAATGAATACAAAAGAGATGACATGTCAAGGGAGTGAAGAAAATTATGCAACAAAGTGCTTTAAATATACACTTCTCATCTAATATTGTTAATTAAATTTTTGGTAGCACAATCTTGGAGTTCAATACCCTGGAGGAGAATGTTTTTAAACCTAGGTTGGGAATCATTGATGAGCACAGAACATTTGCTGTTACAATAACATGGATGTGAGAACTTAACAACTGGAAACAAAAACAAATAAGAGAAAAAAATTCTTCTCATTTTGAAAACCTGTGCTAACACAGCCTGCTACTGGACACAATACTGAGTCAGTTCTATCCAAATTCAATCCTCACAACCTACGTATTATTGTATTATTAAATTCAGATTAATGCATTCAATAGGACACAGGACAACGGAAATACAGAAACTTGTTCATAAAACGGCACTGGAAGAGACAACTTGGGAGACCTTAGCATAGACAAAGTGATGTGTCATAGTGAAATACATTCTGAAGATATGAACCAGTATGCTTGAACATAAAACATATACCTGCCAATTTGGGCAGCAATAATTAAACAAATTTCTCATAGAACACAGGCCTGACATCAGGTGTAATTCTTTTCAAATGCCCCATACACACTGGCTCTACAATCGCTATTTATATTCAATTCACAGCTAGTGTGATGGACAGTGCACAGCGATGTTCTTCACATGATCATTATGATCGATTATGTTCATTACCTTTACACATGGCAAGCTGTATGACTGTATTTGTATTCTGCCCTCTCCCCAAATTTTGTAATCCACCATCAGAGATTGCCAACCTACATAAGCCGCAGCCACTACCAAAACCGGTGATAATTTACACATTAAATTCCAAACTATTTCTAAACACAGGCATATTTATGTATATAAAAAGTACTGTTTAGTGACATGTAAAGCTATTTTGTCTGGAAAATACACCGAAGCCTTGAAGAAACATGTCTCCTCCCACTTCATGGCAAATGGCCAAAGATATGAAGATGGTGGTAACAATTTCCTCCGAAACGTTGGTACCTATCTGCCAGACTACATTGGGTCACTTCCCAGAAGACAGTATAATCTTCATGCTCACCACCGTGTGGTCCAGTTCTCACATGTCTCTAGGTGGCGTCCTACATATCATTCTGATTAGCAACAACATTAACAAGGCACAGTTATCGCTCAAACTGACGATTATTACACCTCACGGATCATTAAATGTCGGTAATTCAAAGGCTTACTCATTCGCAACAAGACGCAGGGAATTTATCTATATAAATTTCCCTTCTCTCCTTTCAAATGGAAAACTTCGATTTATGGAGACAGATATGGCGACCCTGGTACTCACTGGGGAGCTGGGGGCAATGCGTGAAGTAAATTTTTGTACTTCGATGCTACCTTGAATTGTAATTAATTAATATTTACTGAATTTATTGTATTCACAGGGAACTAAAGGACAGTAAAAAAGAATTAATTTAATGATAATAACGATACAAATAAGAAACAAACTAAAGTAGGAACGTAGATGTGTTAATATTAGGTTAAGTTAACTGACAACCGTTCATACGCAATTTCGCGCTGATGCAAAATGCCAGCAACTAGCAGTTTGAAAGTTGCTGTCATATGTTCAAGTAATATGAATAGAAGTATGGAAGCCCATGCTTTTTTAAGGTACTGCCAGGCTCATAATCTAATTGAATGGGAAAGGATGGGCACACTTCTCGACCTGTATTAATGATTTCTTTTGCAGTAAAAAGGGCTTTCATGTCGAGTCGTATGGTACAGGAGACAAAGTGAAGCTACCAGGGCCAGCCCCAGATAAACCAAATTGCTATGAGTTTGGAATCACGTATGATGAAATATATCAAGATCTACTTGTAAAAGACAAGACTTTGTATCCTTTCCAACAAAAAATATAACTCGTTTATAAACTTGTATAGTCATTTTCTTTGTTGTTGGAATTCTGTGTGTTCTGATCATTTTAAGAAGTGTCAATTATATGTGATATATTTTATTTTATTTCCCTTAACTCCTTAATAGTTACACACAGAATGGATTGCTGCATATGTTAGACAGAAATAAACGTATCAAACCTAGACCAGAACGTTTCCAGACTTCCAATGATAAGTTTGATATTCTCGTCACTTGTGAGGAACGAGTGTATGATCAAGTTATTGAAGGTAGCAGTAGTTTATTTATACTTCAATGTAACCCATACCTTATTGGAAACTGGATATAGTAGATTTAACTTGTAAGAAATTATAGATCTTGAAATGTATCACGAACTGCTATGCATTATTCTTCACTGACAGCTTTAGAAGGCCGGACCCCTACCGATAATTCTTCAGTCCACGTAATCAATATTGATATCCAAGATAACCACGAGGAAGCCACATTAGGGGCATTTCTCATCTGTGAACTCATGACAGTGGTAAGTTCTTTGTCTCTCAGAAAAATGTAAGAATTTCCAATAAAATTTTATTTAAAAAATAAGAGGTCGTTGTATACAAAACTGGTACATAATCTAAAATACTGGATGTTATGCCTTTTATTTTTAATACAGTGTATATTAAATATAAGGGCAAATAATTTGTGATTTTATGCGGTTTGTTGGTAGTGTTACAAATTTTTATGTGCAATAAATGAACATTAGAATTGTACAAAATTGTGTAAGCAATGAATTTGAAAATGTGTGAATCTTTTCACACCTTTTATTTCATGCTGTTCAGGGATGTTTAAATTTTTTCTTATGTTCAAATCCAATGTTAAAAGAGCTGTGTTTGTTTGTTGGGTTAAGAAATGTGAATAAAACACGCAGGCCTTCACATCTATCCATGCTGTCCACATGAAGCTCTCAAGGTTTGCCAGCATATCTATGTCTGCTTTATAACAAACTGAATTATGTACTGGTAATAAATGCAGGTTGCTTGGCTATATATTGTGCTTGGCTATATATTGTACTCAAGTTGAACTGCACGATCCGTTTCATAATGAATATTCCTTGATTTCAGCTGTCACAAAGTGACGACTTGGACAATGATATTGATGAGCTGCTTCATGATTTTGAACTGAAATGTCAGCGTCCTATCCTGCACTGTGTGCTATTCTACTAAGAGGCACTGTAATATCTGAAAGTTTAACACACAAAAGGGTATATATACTATATATATAAGGGAACACTGTATGATATTATATGATCAATAAACTACTTGAAAGTTATGCTGACCTGTTGAACTTTGTTTGTGACCTACCATCAGCAACTAGATATTGGTAGTCTCTATGGCATCAAGAAACAGATTTATGGCACTGGTTATGGAAATCTGGGGATGTGGCCATGTTATATAGGCAAAATGACACGGATGGTCATTCAGATACAGTCTCTTTGAGCCAACAGGAATGGTGAACAGGAATCATGAAAAACTGCTATTTTGCAGGACCACACCAGACAGGAATGCCAAGAAACAGCCCTTCTAGAGTCAGTGCTGAGGAGTCTTGTATCAGGGGGAAGACTGTCTGCTAAAGTTACCTTTGTGTTTAGTTAAGAACTGTGCCATGAAGATGTATGGAGGAAGTGGAGATATAGATCCATGTCTTGTTAATCTTGGCACAAGATGGAGGAAGCAGTGACCTTTATGCCTTGGCTGCTTTATCCTTAGCGAAAGAGCATCTGGTACCCAATAAATCAAGTACCGATTCCTCGATCATGTATTCAGTAGCCTGTAGTACCAACTGCGCTGTCCTGGCCCCATATGCACAGTACCATAAAAATAAAAAAATCTCTTAATATAATTTAGAGTTTTTATGACTAACGGGCTTAGCCAGATTATGAAATACACTGCTGGATTGGGGAGGGGGAATGTGACTAATTTTGGAACAGGCAAATAATAAGCTCAACTGGCACAAAGTAACAAGATTTTATTATCTGGCAACATTTCATTATCCAACTTATCAGTGACTACACATTTTATTTTGAGGTGTCTTATTTACAAGAAGCCAGTAGTTTCTCTGAAAGAGATGCATGTCTGTGCACCTTGCCAGGCTTCGTGTCACTGGTCCAAGTAAGCGTACACCCTGCGCAGCTTCTCACGCTTGTTCCTCTTGTTTCTGTGATCTTTCCATGGTTTTGTGTTTTCACTGGCATCACTGTAATGACAGCCAGTTGTATGAGCTTATAATATACTCATGATCAGGGTTTCCTTCCACAGCTGTGCTCCCACATCATAATTTTTGTATCACAGAAAAAGTCTTACTTCAAAAGATGGTGTCATTTCTTAACATATTTAGTGTGAAATGATTACAGAATCATACAAAAATAATTGGGTGCTTCTCCCTATCAATAACACAATATACAGTAGCTCAAAGTGTAGGGAACTAATACAAAATCAACAAATTAAATTTTATTCATTAAACTAAAGGGGGTGGCAATGAGATATATCACATCCATAAGAAACACCAAAGCAGTTCCTAAATGTTCGGACATGATCCCTCCTACACCCTTTGGTTTTCACCAAACCCTCGCGCCTCCTGAATTTCTTCTTCTGAAATAAATGTATCCCTTTGCACCAATAGTGCTTGTATTATTGTTTCTGATCAACTAGCTTCTAATTAGTATAGTACCAAAACTGTGAGAAAAAAATTCATATTTCTAAAGTGAAAATTATGCAAAATTCTCTTTATTCAGTGATGAACATTGCTGACAAATGTGAAAATCTAATTAACTCTTTGACTGGCGCGGGCGTGTTTTAACGCCCGGACGATGCCAGCCGTTCCGTGGCGTTGGCGTGTTTTAACGCTTTGACAATCTCTTCCCTTCTTTGCTCTCTTGACACTCATCAACCAAAGACATATATATGATAGTTTTTGTGCATGTTTGTAAAGAACCCTTGTAAACTTTGTGGGGGTCTATATTACTGTCAGAACCCTCTGAGAAGGAAAAGGTCAGAAAATATTTCACATTCATTCAGTTTCACCATGGCTTCTTGCAGCAAGTGTCTTCGTGTTCCTACAGACCAGCTGGAAAATGTTGTGAACGAGATTTGTTCTGATGATGATAGTGGCGATGAAATAATGATTCCTGAATTGGATGAAGTTGATAGTGACAATAATACAGTGATAGACAATGATCCACAAGACAGTAATCATGAACATTTACCTACCACGAGTGCGGTGCCTGACACGCCCATCTCATGAACGTACGGAGACATTGTACCCCCAATATTTTCATTTGCTAATAGTTTCGGGATCAAAATTGATATAACACATAAAATGCATCCCTTTTCATGGATTAAAATTTTTTCTGGATGATGACTTGGTAAATCACATCACAACTGAAACCAATCGCTATGCTCACCAGCACTTCAACACACATGAGTTAGCTCCTCACTCTCGAAAACACAATTACAATTATGTCACATCAGATGAAATCTGGACATACTTAGGAATTGTGTTCATGACAGAAATCGACAAACGCCCTGAAATTGAAGAATATTTGTCCACTAGGCCCCTATTTGACACCCATGGTATGGACAAAACATGTCTTTGCGGTTGAATAGTTTCATTCTATTCAAAAAGAACACAAACGAAAATACAAGAAGAGAAATTACAGATTCAAAGATTTTATATTGGACTGTGTAGAAAAATGACTGAACCAAACAAACAGTGTGGAGACGGAGAAAAGTCAAGGAATGAAGTGGATGACGAATTTATTGCGTCAGACTAGAGTGCAGTCACGCCTCCGCCCTCGACCTTGAAAAGGCCACCAGTGAAAGAGCCAGTAAATCGTCTAGAGGGTGGCTTGAAAATTAACAAAATGGTCCATGTTCCTCCCAGTAACAATAAGAAGAATGGTGCCCTGAGAAAGTGTCGCGTGAGTGCTAAGCACAAGGTTAGAAAAGAAACAAGTATCATGTGTGCAGGCGGTGGTGTGGCTCTCTGCAAACTTTCATGGTTCAATGTTTATCACATGAAGAAAAACTAATAAAGAGGTATGGAAAGGCATTTATTGCATAATATATTGTATTTTAATTAGTTCCTGAAAATTTCGTTTTTAAAAATCAATTTTTGTTGAAGTTGTTTAGGAAAAAGTAACTACATGCATTTTAGCGACATAAGGTTTAAAGGGCCTGCCAGGACAGGGGTGGGATTTAAATAACCTTCGCGCCAGTCAAAGAGTTAATGACTATAACTTCTTGTAATATATGGATTAAGAATTCTAATGCATGTATAGAGAAGAGTTGAAATGCAGCTGAAAAGAACTATTTCACTAAATCTGACATTAGAAACGATACTCCTCATGGTCTCATGACCTGCCTGAAGCCCTCTCAGCAGCTCCTTACCCCCCACAACACTGAGAACCACTTCACTACCACAATACTTGCACATCACTTTAATAGCTATGATTATCAAACATGTGGGCATAAGTAGCATAAGTGTAACATGACGGCTGAAAGCCAGAACAGTGGAACAAATGGATGCAGTCAGTGCTAGGCAATGTAAACATTTTTCCACAGCAATGAATCAACACACAACAACAGTAGAACTGCTGGAAGAGGTGTGCAATGCTGTGCAAAACGACTGTGCCGGCAACAGAAACACAAATACAACTGCACTGCGGACAATTAATACTGACTGAGCAGAGATGTCCTACCTGTTGTCCGAGCTGCTCTGGGTTCCCTTCTTGTGCACTCCAACTGACATCTTCTGGAAGAACTGTCTGTCCAGATCCTCTGTGGACAATTTGTTTGACTGAAACAGAAGAATCCAGCTCTTAAATCAGAGAACAGCTGTAATAATGTTTCTCAAACAACCTTCAAACTCACACCAGTCTAGTCAGAGCATGGCATGCAGTTAACAATTAAAACGACCCTGCATTTCCCCACATGGCATAGTTATGTTTTACACAATTCTCAAAATAAACTGTAATTACTTCCCAAAACATCACTGACTGAACTTTGTAATGGAGAGAAAGTGTGTTTTCTGTGGGGTAGGAACTGAATTTTAAATTTTATTTTGATGAACCTAACGCTCCAAAAGGGGCTGAATGCCTCATATATACGAATGTTGCTTCAAGGCACTGACTGTCCATCACAGCCTTCAGACCAACATCTGGGTCCCATTTGGTCAATTCATGAGTGACTACTGTGACTATCTGAGACGTACAAATTAATTCGTTATTTAAGACTATGCTGTAGAGTGCGGGAGACAGGCACCTGCTTCTTCATCTCCAGGACAGACTGTACTACACTGATACCTATCAACTGAAGCATAAGTGCCGAATCCCTGAATCTTAACAGTCACTGCCGCAAGGAACTCAAACCTCACATTCTTTTGTATTCTGTCCACTGTTCAAGTTTTCCTAGCAAGACCACTACGCTTTGGAAAAATGACTCAATTTGTATAATCCGATAAACTGGAAAAGAAGGCACTGCTACTCTGTCAGACCCCAAGGTAGAGCTACTTTTAAACCCTGGGCCAGGGACCCAACAGAGTAGGAATTCTTTCTTACGTGTTTACCTGATGAATGAAATAAATTAAATTTCAAAATGTAATCTTCTTTATTTAAAAAAATCAGGATAATATACAACTGCAAAATATATATTGCAAAAGAACAATTTTGAATGTTGTGTTATACCACCATAACTAAATAAAAATTGAGTTTCATGTTCCAAACGGTTACTACCTTAAGCAGACGAACAGCCAAAGGAGGCAAAATGGCTGCCTTCGATTGCTTTTGCCTCTCTGGGAATGTGTGATATTGTGACTGGTCATTAGTGGATGGGGCATGGCAGTAAAGCAACTTGCCCTTCACAAAGTCCTTCAGAATGTAACGGGCTGCCCGAGGATTGTCTGGTTGTCCATTCTGTGTCATGAACCCACGGTTGTCTGCAACAGTTTGGAGTCTGTATTGTTACTGTTATCATATGAAATATGAAATATGTAACATGATTGAAGTGGCAATGTTCATCGTTTCTATTCAGGAAGTTCCTGGGCAAGAATCCTGGTTCAGACTCACACTCCCTAGTGACAATTTTGATGGTTTCCTCAGTCCCTCCAAGCAAATCCTAGGAGAGTACCCCAATTAGGCTACGACTGCTTTCTTTCCAATTCCTTGCTCAGCAATCCTCATACCATATGAAACTACATATAGGTGCAACAATTTAATTCCTGGAATGGCCCCATGAAAGCAAAATTTGCTTATCTGTGCACCAGCGGCTGCTGTTGTCTTCGAAATACTCTCTTTGTGAAGCTATATACTTCATGGGACGATGGTACCACTGCTGCAAAATCTTGAAAATGGTTTTTCAGAATACCTTGCAGTAACACTGTTGCGTTGGATGTCAGGAATGTCAGCAAATCTTTGTCCTTTCAGGGCATTTTTTTTTTTTAATTTTGGAAGTAGCCAAAAATCTAAGGGGACTAAGTTACTCTTCCTTGAACTGCGTATGCCAATCAGAGACATTCAATTTCTTCATAGCATATTCACCATAAGCCACTGTTAATAGGGCTAATGTCTCCCTAGCTCATTTACCCATCTTCACACAAAACTTGATGTTTATCCGCTGCTCCAGATTCTTGTCACTCATTTTTCCGCCAGCAGTATACCACGGACAGGTACTGTTTCCTTTGCTGCCTGGGAACGAATGACTCATTTGGTCTGTGGGTCATGTAAACGCAAGTTGGAACATGTCCAAACATGCTTGGGTATGTGAGTTTGCCTGACACCAGGAACATGCTGCAGCCATTCTGGGAATTAAATTGTCACACCCCATACTCTGAGACATTGACAGTGTTATTAAATAAACCACAAACAAACTGATAATCTCCTCGAATTTGCCTCAAAGACTGAGGAGCACTGCAAAAGTCTCAAGATAATCAGCGGCCCAGTTAAGACTCTGTACCATCTGGATACAAGTTCAGAGCATCAGTGCTATAAAAACCTTTGGTATTTATTATCTGCAGATATAACACCCAGCATAAACCAGCACAAGAAATTTACAGAAAGAATTAACAATTTATACAGAACAGAGAAATACATACATCCATAAGCATTTAATAGCTCCTCTGCCGTTGGAGGTCGAGTGGGGTCTTCTCCTTCTGCTGGTGGAGGCAGCATTATCCCATAGGTATGCTCGAGTACATGACGAGGTATAAGACTAGCGATCAACGTCACAGGTGGAACATGGTCCCGCATCTGATCAATCGGAAGTATCCCATTCACAACCATCTCTGCTTTCGTGAACATGAAGCTCGGCATTACAAGGCCGGGGCAGTCGCACAACATGAGGTTAGGTTCCAGGAACAGCGTCTGCCCACACAGCACACATTATCATCAACTCTCCAACATGTACCTTCCTTCCACAAGTTTTACTTTCTAAATCAGGATGAATATCACACTCAGTCTTTGCTAAAATCAACACAATGATTAAAATTCTGGTTGCATGGAATGTGACACTGTGTAATTTGGTAGATAGGCACTAACATTTTGGAACATACTGCCTGCATCTTCACTCTTCTGCCTTTATGATGGACGCATCTGGATCCTGCGAAATATCGTACCCATCAACCAACCTACATGGTGTCACATCTCAGAAAACTGTACCTTAACATTCACAGTGTGAGCACCACTAAACTCAGGACAGTGTTGTCAGAATGTTACATGACAAGAGTTATCCCAGTAACAGTGGGGCACACACACCTGGCAGGCTCCACCATACTAAGAGGACAACCAGTAGAGGAAACCACAGCTTAATCTGAGTTCCAAGCAATGATGGGTGGTGGCACCTCTTTATATTTACAAAGTTTTATCACAGCTAAGGGGAACAAAGGGCATGCCAAAAAATAAAAACTGCAATGGATCCAGACAGTCTCAAACATGAGACCCTTAATATCAAAATCCAACACTCTATCACTAAACTCAACTGGATCATGACAACCATAATACAACCTGCTTCACTGTCAGCAAAAGAGATACTTTCCCAAATTCTACCTTACTGAATCAAATAATATTTGAGCAGAGACTGACATGGTGGTAAAACTCTTAGACTTGTATTTGGGAGGTACTGGGTTCGAATCTCGGCCAAGATATCAAATATCCTGAGGTTCTTTCAGGAATTTCCTGAATCCCTCCAGACACAATACAAGGACAGCATCTCAACTGTGCCATTACAATTTCCTACCAAATCCCTTCTAATTTACTATTCATCTATCACCCTGCCATCTGACACTACACAGTGTAGCTACTGACATAAGTCAGTAAGTAAAGGCATCCCTGTAACACGCTGTGGAGGCCCATAGGGTTGTGAGATGTTGACGTTCCCACATTTTCTAGACAAATGGCTCATAGATGGCGGTAAGGTTGTCAGCCTTATGCGCTGGTCGCCCTTTACCCCCAAGAACATTCCAAGAATATCCCTGGTACTCATTTCTGTTAGAGGCTGAGTCAACCCCAGGGCCATAGTGCGGCTGGAAGGATTAGGTCAATTGAAAAAAAAATCCAATGACCTCATCACGACTTGAACCCACGACCTTCCAGCTTGTAGCATAGTACCTCAACGAACTATGCTATCACATGCCCCAGTGTAACATTAACCTCACATCGACCATCAGAGAACTTATATTTTTCAGACAACTGAAAATGCTGTATGAAAAATGTAAGCTCTCTGTGGGAGATGTGCAGTTAATGTAATAACATCTGTCAGCAATAAACCAGAACTCAACTCCACACATCAATACTGACTGAGGTGTAGCCCTTACCTGAAAATGTTTTGTCTTCCCTGGGGTGGACGACACAGAGACTTTCTTGTAAGTGAGGAGTGCATTAATGGTGGAACTCTTGCCAACATTGGGGTAACCAACCATCCCAATAGTGGTGACACCAGCTGTCACCTTAGGACCTTTGTGAAAAGACTTGAAGACTGTCACCAATTCTTCTCGAGTTAGAAGTATGTCAGAGTTTGTAAACTCCCCTGTGCTCGTAACAGCAACTGTTTCAGAATCAGCAGACATCTCGGTACAACTTTCAGTCACATCAGTATCAGTGAACTGAGACTGCTCTTCCAACTTTCCTTCCTCTTCACTCTCTGGATATTCAGCCACATCCTGGTGTGGCGACACACCATCATCTGTTTCATCATCACCCTCACTCTTGCCTGTCTCTGCTGCTAATGTGGCAGAGAAAAAGGCAGCTTTCACATTGAGCCCTGAGAAGTACTCTGCCCATGCTCGGCGTTGCGACTGCGTCAAGAAGTCAGCCTTGTTGATCAGGATCAGGTTCAATTTATCAGGACTCACTTCTTTCACGTACGTCTCCAGGTCCTCACAGCGAAACAGCAGGGGGTTCCTGGCATCCACTATCTGCACCACCACGTCACTGCAACAGCCCCTTGTGCTTTATCTCAGTCTCACTGATATACATGAATGATATTCCATTATGGCTGTAAGGCAAATGTAGTGTTCTCCCTGCACTTAACTAAGCACCCATTCATGTAGATATATGACAGTAATGGAAGACTAGAGGTAAAGCCCCATGCACTGTTAACCTCAATGTTTCTAACTTGCTGACACAATCAGCTTAATTTGAATTTTGGCAAGACACTTACTTCACGGTTTATTCAGGAAGACGCTGTGACAGTACTATCACAGGAGTGGCACTGCTTGGCCTGCATGTGCCTTTAATTGTGACGACAGTATCAAGACATACCCCCCTTCCAAACTGTTCAAGAAACCACCTATCGCAGGTTGCCCCAGCACTTCTGAGAAAACTGGCAAAGGGTGACATGATCGGAACAGCAGCTATAGAGCCACTGACAGAGCTCAGTTCTGTTCAGGGCAGTGGAAAAGCATACATGAAAAGTGAGTGTTGTGAATGGGTCAGTCAGTTTGCGAGTTAGAGTAGTACATAAATATTCAGCTCGGCGAAAAGAGAGAACAATTGTGAGGCAAGTGCAGTGCATGACCTTGTAGAGTAATAAAGAGTGGTAAAGAACTGACCTTAAGAGCATAAGTAGTTATATATGATGATAAGATGATAATCACTACAGTGCCTTAAAATTAGGCCACAACTATTGCCATCTACATCCCTTCGAACTTCCCACTATTGTCCAGCAGTTCCATGTTATCCAACCTCAGTCACTGACAGAAGTTTCAAATAAACAGACAAAACACTAACCTCAGCATCATGTGGGTGTGGTCTGCTTCATGCACCAGCCAGTTTAGCACAAGGAAAGAGTCCCTGGCACCCATTAAATAAGATGATGAGTGGGCCCCAAAGCCAGTCTCAACACCATACATATGGGATTTATCCCCAATACCTAGTCATCCAGCCCATAGCCCAGCCACTATACTGACTGATGATAGTATTAAAAACACATGTCATCAGCATGGTGTAGTTCAAATTTCTAAAGATCACAGCTTCATCATTAGAAGTAAAATTTAAAGGGATATCCTATGCGAAAACCCAGATGGTCCAGGCAGGTACTAAAAGACTTCAGGAAAAAAGAAAAGAGGTGGCAAGAATTACAAAAATAAAAAACTGTAGGAATGAAGAAGGAATTGGAAACTTTTCAGTCAACCCATAAAAAGTAGAAAGAATGCTGTATGTATTACAGGAGCACAACTTGTAACATGAAGAGAGAGAGGATTTCTCTTTTATGTACTCAAAATAACTTTCTGCTTTGAAATTTTATTTTCTTACTATGATAACTATGAAAGACAAAATGTGTCAATATGTACAGATTCAAAGTCGAGCCACTTTATAATTTCACCATTACCAAAACATACTGAATCAAGACTTGAAGAAACAGATGTTTACCTTCTCTCAACAACCCTCCATAGCTGTCTCCAGAACTCAAGGTTCTTCTCATATGGTGTCAGAAGAATACCCTCCACTTCTTGCAGTTTGGCTAGACGTCGCCGCCATTCTAGAAACTCATCCCGTTCAGCTGCTTGCAACTGTTCAGCAGTGGTGTTAATGTCCCATTTTGGCCTGCACATGAAAATAAGACATCCACAATATCCCTAGAACAGGATGTTCTTCAATGAGAGGAGTAAATAAGAAATCTGCTAACTAACATGTCCTTAGATTTTTATATTTTCAAAGTTGGAATTTAATGTACAACGTCAGCTTTCTGTAATATGCCTTGCAGAATGCTGAAGGCCTTCTGATACGACCACCTGTGTTAATAACGAATTCAGCATTTCCTTTCCAAACCATGTGGTCGCTAAAAAGCATTTTTCATCAACTCTTCTCCTAACACCACTGCCACTAAAATCCTTTCGTCACCTATTTTATTAATCATGAACGCACTAAATCTATTCTCATCACATCCATCTCAACCACCCAAACACCCAGCCACCCAGGCTCTAAAAACGTTTCCCTTGTCTATTTTCTTCAACAAAATAGTCACTCCCTTTTGGATAGCATCCGGCTTTTCCACTTCACCCGACGGCATTCACATCCCACTTGACTAACACCTACGGCCAGATGTAAGGGCTTCTGAATTCCCCTCAAAGATGATCCTGCAAACATCAGCTGCAGTGTTTGTTGAAACTAAAAATATTCAACATTCTACATGGCTAATTCCAGAAAAATGAAGTAATGGAATTAGCTACCTATCTAACAAACTAACAGACAGACTGCCTACTTACACAAACACCTAATTAATTCTCTGGTACCAATACCCACATTTTCAAAGTTCCTAACATTGCACTCTCTCACAGATTTTGTTAAGATACAACTTAAACCTCATCATCCAGGAGTAAGAGATTCATGGGGCTGGCTACAGCATTTTAAGTCACATGTACTAGTATTTCTATTGAAAAAAAATATAACAAATAGCCTGCTGGAGGTGTGTATACGTGGTCACAATAAAGTAACAGACAGCTTATGTAGATTAATACGATCCTCTCATTTCCTGATTGGTCCTGAAGGTACCTACATTCCAAAAGTTTGGTATTTGCATTTTGTTACCCCCCTCCGTGGTACATGATGAGACCAACGTCACACTGAGATTAAGAATAATGGTCACTGACTTGACTGCAAGAAATAACCCAGAGCTGAATGTGGTGCTGTGATTCACAAAATAACTCACTGACACTTTATTGCATATAACTGAATTGAGTTTAATACTGTAACGTGTATTGGTGACTAATAACACAGATTCTGGATTGGATGAATGGATTTCTTTACACCAGATCCACATTATAAACAGCAATAAGCCGATACTATTTACAGAAGCTACCATTCTTTACTGTGAGGAACATGAGACATATGAATACACTTCATGGGAAAAATATAAGTGTTCTATGAGGTTAAAGGATGTGGTATATATAGTTACCACTGTTATTTAAAGGGTTAAAAACTGTTAAACCATTTCGAGTTTCCAGTTGAGTGTGCAATCTTTGTTAAAAATCTATAAACTGATTCATAACCAGATTTGAATAAGTGGATATGCAAGGAGCACAGTCTTAACCCATGACAGAGGCAATAACATTCCCGCTACCCCAAAACAGAAAAAAAACTTGAGGCTGACATTAATAGGACCTTCTGACTACTCCACCTTCTGGGTATCCCTAGCAACTGTTTGTTCTTGTCTTGTGCTCCCTTCACTTTCTCTTTATCCTCGCCTGACAGCAAACCAACTCCACTCATTGGGTTCACAAATGTGATGTTCAGTTTCTCGGCCTGGAAACAACAAAATCAGTTTCACATAACAATGCATGTTGCCTGTGCACCTCCAAGAATTAGGAGGTTGTGAGGTTTGAGATTTGCATTGTGACTGATGACTAAGAAGGTCAATGTGATTCTGTGTAGACTGGGTTAGTGCACAGTGTCAGTATCTACACTACACAACATCAAATGGCAGGATGACAAATGAATGGCAGACTCAAAAGGATTTAGAAATAAGCAGTTCTGGCCTACCAAAGCACTATCCTGGTACTTGCCTGGAGGGACTGAGGAAAACTTCGGAACACATCAGTCTCAGCTGAGGATCAAAGTGGACACCTCTTGAATATGAGTCTCGAGCATTATTATTGCACCAACCCATTCAGTGGCATGGCATGTCACCTGGTAGAATGCTACCTACATTTCAGAGGAGCAAACTGCTGCTTCACTGGGGTACCACGATGATGGAAAGATTGATATATATCTACCACACTTCATGACACCACATCTCAGAACACAGCACCCTTCACTTGGAAACAAGACTCCAGATTTATTTATTTATGCATAGTTAATTTGTGATGTGTGCAAACAAGTTTCAATGACCAAGGATATTTTTGAACAGACTGAAAGACTTAACCACAAAATTGTTCCTCCAGGTAAATGTCAGGATAATATCTCAAATTCGGCCACAACTGCTTTCTTCCACTCATTTCATGGTACATATTCTGCCCTGATGATGGAGTCATTAAATAAAACATAAATAAATAAATAAGGAAGGTCACATCACTGGAGGTCGGTAACATTAATTAATCATTACTCTTAACAACTACCTTTAATAATACCAACATGGCAGTTCATACGTTGCAATGATTTGTATGTTATCACAATAACCTTAAAGTAATATTTCTGTTAGATCTACTATGTGCAGGAAAAATCTTGGTAGAGGTTACAGATAACTGTCAATTTAAGACCTGGCTAGAAGGGAACATAAGTTGACTTACAGGTATAAAACTGGTTACAAACATCACCTGAAATTCTGTTCCAGCTAATTCAGCCGTGGACAGGAATGCCTGAAACGAACTCTCTTCTGTCACCGACTGAAGGTTAAGACGTCCCCATTCGTAACCATCATCTACATCTGCTGTATGAAGCTAATGGAAAAAAAAATACGTTAACCTGCTGCTACAACTAAAAGGAAGTAAATTATACAATTTCACGAATATAATAATCATATGAAAGATCACGTGCTGTAATGACAAGACTGTGTACAGCTGTCTGGGTCGATTACATACAATTATTCTACGTTAAGATTTATAAATCACTGTTATCTGCATTGTCATTCCAGTTAAAGACAACATTCTTAAAATACTACAGCTTCCCTTTGGAATTACGACAATGACAGAATATTTACGTAATATAATAGTAACTAAGCCTCCTGTTTCCAGATGATAAAGTATGATATACCAATGATGGGTCCTTATTTCTCCTCGTTCTACCCGCTGATCCAAACCGATCTTTGATTAAGGATCTACCGAGGTTAGCTGTGGATTTATTTTTCTTTCCCATTTTGAAACTTTGTCGCTGCGCATATGAAATATTTCTTTAAACAACACTTCACACCAAAAACAGTCCATTACATTACACCACAGTGCAATAATAACAATACATTCGCACCAAATAATCCGACAACACCACTACCAGGCACAGATTATGCCACAGAGATCAATAAACTATCCCTGTGTTTAACTAATTGTGCACAAGGCCGTGAAGGTGTATGGGGGAATGGATTTATAGACGTATAGATCCACGTTTTCTTGACCGCTCCGGATGACTGATGTCAATTGTTAAATGTTGTGTTTTTATGTCGTACCGCTAGAACGCGCCAATATCGTGGACTCGTAGATGATGATATAAACGAAGTGAATGAATACGTTGGGAATGTAATTGGGCACAGTTAGGTTTATCGAAACAAATCACATTGTAGAAATATCTGAATGAAACGTCGTATATTAAATATGGATCCCGAAGAATTTTCGAAATTAAAATATGAAGGAGCAGGTAAGGAATTTTAACCTGCTAATACAAGTAAGTAACAGATGTTTCAGGTATTGACAGCACAATGCAAGCTATAAAAAATGGAACAAATTCTTCATACTAAAACAATATTTTTTTTTTAGTATTGATAAAAATGTATATAATGCAAACCGCTAGTTGTGGATCAGTTATGCCGATTAGAATACATGTATCAACAAATTACACTGCAGACTGATAAAAAGAGTCTGTTGACCAGCATAAAAGCATGATTGTGTTAAAACACCAATTTCACCCACTGCTGAGATCTGAAATATCCCCCCCACCAAAAAAAAATTGTTTGACAAATTAACAGTTTCCAGTGTTACTTCAGATGAAAGCTTCAATTTTCTTAAGTTTTCTTGTGTGATACAACACCATGAGCCTGATAGTTCATTCCTAGAGTATGATGCTTTCATCTTTAGGCTAGAATAATGGAGCTATACCTGCATTCCCCAAGGAGCATGCAGTAGTGTTATTGGTTGAGGCACTATACTAAAAGCTGGAAGCATGTGGGATCAATTCCTGATGAGGTCATTGGATTTTTCAGTTGACCTAATCTTTGCAGCCAGCAGAAATCAGTACCAGGAATCTTCCTTGGGGTAAAAGGGTAGCTGGCTGGCATGTTAGGCTGACAACCTAACTGCGATCTGTGACCCAGTTGCCAAAAAAGTGGGCAGCTTGACTTCTCAGAATCCTGCAGACCTCCATGGCCTGTTACAGGCATAGCTTTTACCTTTTTACCTTCATTCTCCCATATGTTTTCATGCTGTAATGCGTAATAAGGCACAACTTTATTTTAAAGGCAATAAGAAGCTGATAAAGTTGCTTATTGTAATAGTAATTACCCTAAAGATGGAGGCAACATATTCTTCAAAGACATTGGTCATGATGTCAGAGTATACAACATCATATCCCAGAAGACAGCAATCTTTATTGTTGTGAGATCCTCAATCTCACTTTTAGTATAGTGGTTGTCAAGNATTTCAGACTCCCTTGTCGAGAGGAACACAGTGCCTCAAGGCTTTAAGCTAACCAATCCATTTGCAGTGGCAAAGTCTGATGCCACAGATCTAGTAGAACTTGCTACAGAAATCCAAAGGGTGAGTGCAAATCACTGATCTGAATCCATTTCAGTAGACAATCCAATAACGAGTGACTTATTCACATAAAGATTGCCTCATGATGACCCAGCAGGGTCGAAACACATACCAATACTTCCACACAATACACGATTGTTAATACAGTAATACTGATTTTTTATTATAGAATTACTGTGTTGATGGATACATTAAGAATACCATATATGAGTAAACTGTATTTGCAAGCTACCATTAGAAGCTCTACAGTTTTCCCCTTATGCAAATTTAATATTTCAAAATATGCCATTTGGGCAGCTCATGTTTTCTTATCAGACAGTATCTCATTCATTTCACTACTGGTGTTTGCTTAGTGATGACTGATGATTACAGTCTTTTGGGCTGTGACACTGCGTAATCTGGTATAGCATTACCAACATTTCGGGAGAAACTCCTGCCACCATCTTCAGGGTAGAAGTATCCCTGAATGTGAAGGTAGCACGTGATACAATGTAGTCTGCTAGATTATTACCAGTATTTCAGAGGAAACCAGATTAACCTGAATTAAAATGTTTATAACTGCAGGCTGATATTCTTGTAAGAGCTACAGCATGCAGCAAGCTACAGATGATAGCGCAACAAGTTCGTTTCCTACAACAAGAAGCCCAGAAAGTTCTTCTAGAAGCCAAAGAAAGCTTGGACCTTCACCACGCAGCATGCAACTTCCGAAAGCACCCTGGCCACATTTACTATCTGTACAAAAGACCGTCTGGAAAGCAGTATTTCTCTATGCTGTCTCCAGAGGTACGTTCTATACAATGCAGTTCACAACAGGATGAGACAGAAGAAATTAAGTTATGTGGGATATGACACTGCATAGTATGATAAGCTTCTTGAGAGATGCAGTGACTTTGTTTCCTTAACTTGACCCACATTAGGTCAACTACTATTTTCAGGGCCTCCTTTCATCTTCCATCCATTTCTTTCCACTTCTGTTTTTCCCCAACTTCCTTTATTTCATGCTTGTTTTTATTCAGACTAAACAGCCTTCCTATGTCATCTACCATTTTTCTTTGCTGGGTTCAATCTTCTACCCTGGAGATGGAGGCAGCAGATTCCTCTGAAACACTGGTACACTCTGTTACATGGCATCACACTTTACAAGATCATAATCTTAATATTCATCACCACAATGAAGACCTAAAATTTTTGTGTACAATATGATCACTGGGAAGGTGGCTGATATGTGCTGAAGCTTGCAACTCATTACATGGAGGGAAATTGGCCTTGTCATGCTACCCTGACTGCATGCTTTTCGGGTATGAAGCATCCAATGAAAACAGAAAAAGTTAATAGCACTGCCTTCCCACAGCAGTGGTAGGTATTCTTAACAGTTCCGATGTCAAGGTTGCATCTCTGTTCTGCCAAAGTGACTGAAGCTTACTAGTTAATTTTTAAATCTCTTGTCTTCAGCAATGAACAGGGTTCTACTACCATAGTCAATAAGTTCGTGGACTGGCCGTAAAGCGTCATTGCAGTGCATTACAGCAGATAGGTTGAGGGATGATATGATGCCCTGTCAGTTCATCTCTTGTCACAGCAAGAGGCAGTTGTGTGCAAACAGTGTAAGTAGAACTACTGCAGTTAAATGCAAGTGGCAGAAATAAAAAACGTGGCAGTTTGACCAACGGGCAAACATTAAGTTCTGCCAAAAACTAGGCAAATCCCCTAGTGAAACATTTGGCATAGGAAGAATTGGCTGTTGCGACATGACAGTGCCCCTGCACATTGCTCTGTTCTTGTCCAAGAGGAACTAGCAAGGCAACAGGTCATTGTTTTGCCACACCCTCCATACTCATATGATTTCTTTCTCTTTTACCGCTTGAAAGCAAAGCTACGTGGTCATAGATTTCAGTCATCTGAGGAGGTCGTCAATGCCACAAGATATGCTGTACGGGAATTTCCTGCCAATATGTTTCAGCGATGTTTTCGGCAGCTATATCAACGTTGGCAGACTTGCATAGCAGCCAACGGCGACTATTTTGAGGGTCAATGTTGATCTGTGCAAGTGTATGTGAATACCTTTTAATATGTTGCGATAAAGCCACAGTTCACGAACTTAATGACTGTACCACGTATATGCTATGGTATTCACTGAGATATTAATGATCTTCAAATCCATATAAACAAATATAAAAGGCATTATGCAGGAGTCATTGGTAGTCATTTATAGGACCAAAATACAGTAGCAGTACATGCCAGTGAGAGGCGAGTAGGTAGCCCTGCTGCCTATTCTTTCAAGCTGTCTTTCCATAACTTTCGAAGTTCATAGCATGCATATTAAGTGAAGTCATAATTTCCAAGTGTCTTTCAAGGTCTGTATTGAGTAAGCATGGATCATCGGAAAGGGTTAACTGTGGTTAGAAGTGGGAAATGTCAAAAGTCCCCATTGAAATTTCAGTGGCCTTTATGCTACTCATTGTATTGAATTATAATGTGATGTGATGTGTTGTCCGTATCAATGCGGGGGTTGATTTCCCCACGGTAATGCAGTCACTCTATGTGCAGGATTGGTCTAGCAGTCACGAGGGACCACCACATATTTATTTAGGGGCATACAGGTTGGAGCAAGACCTCTCGTGGACACCTGAAGCATCAGTTGCTACCAGATCGAAGCAGCTATCTCTCGTGGACAAACTGCTCACCGATGAAGACATTAGACTTATGAGGCCATTAGAAATGGGGAATAAGGTTTCTGATATAGAGATGGAATGAAATTAGGAGAGGTACACAATATAGCAGTGGTTCCCAACCTGAGGACATCAGAGGTCATCAAAGAGAAAAAAATTTTTAGTGTCAAATTCAGGTGAAATAATTTGTTTTAGCTGTATTTAATTTACTCTTCCATATGAACCCATCAGAATTGTTAATCCATATATAAAAATCCGGATGGATTAGATTTCAACATTTCTCAGCATAATTCACCCCAAAATAAAGAGAGCCATGCATCATTTTGATTTTAAGAAATGTACTTATTTATAGTTCTGGTGTGGTAGTAATTGCAAATTAGTCAATCATAGACAATAATATAAATGTAAGTGCAAGGACTTACACAAGGGTTTGGTGAAAACCAAACTGGAGTGTCACATCAAATGTTTGGGAACCACTGCAGTGTAGGAATGGACCAGACATTCAAAGCATTTGAACAGTCCTGCAGTAAATTCATAGCAGACGGTATTCACTGCTTTGATAATGTGGTCTCTTGCATCTGTTTGTCATGATTAATTTTGTGGTAACTTTACTGTTGCTGTGAAATTTTTATTTCATGTAAAAATAAGGAAGTTCTTCAGTGAAGCCAAAAAATGAAAATTGTGAGATACACTGATATCTAATTTTTTCTTTAAACTTTTTATTTTCACTTTCTTGCTTCTTCCAACTTCCATAGTTTCTAACAAATACTAACATACATGGCAGGCTCGGACAAGACACTCCTGTCTCAGTCGTGCTTGCACATGACCAAATGTTGCTTCATTTTTTCTTTTCTTTTTCTTTAAGTTATGTAGTACTTACACAGACATGAGTCTTCAAACTATGGAAAATGACTAAGGGCTTCAGTGCTGTCATGTTGCATTCACCCGGTGAGCTGGAAGAGTGAGGTAACAATTATATACAAAAAACACAACATGGAATTAAACTTGAACCTCTCTCTATCTCAGTAGAATGCTTCTGAATTTACAACACAACAATCACTTAGAGTTAATTTTTAAATGTTGAAAACGTTATTATGCGAGAGTGCAAACAGATGAATCTGTGACACTGAGCATAACAATCATGCAACTTTGTACATAACCGCTGATAACCTCAGACCTGTGGCATATCTTATATTAGAAGTTATATGTAAATGAAAGAATAAAGACTGATCTATCCAAAAATAATATTCATTTTATTCAAAAAATAAAATTGTACATTGTTTAAACAATTACCCAAAATATGTAATAATTGTCCTAATTTTATAGATAATAAAAGATACCTTCAAACTTGAAGAAAGCAGTCTTCTGGGATTTGGCACTGTGTATATGTGGTGTTCACCGATGTTTCGGAGGAACGTATCGCCTCCATCTTCAGGGTGGAAGGAAAAATATAAATCCACAGGCGAAGAGACCGTGAGAACCAGTGTTTTTACCAGTTCTCATGGTCTCTTTGCTTGCGGATTTCTTATATTTTTCCTTCTACCCTGAAGATGGAGGCGATACGTTCCTCCGAAATGTCGGTTAACACCACATATACTCGGTGCCAAATGCCAGAAGACTGCTTTCTTCATAGTCACCGCCGTGAAAGCCTAAAATCTTACACTTTCAAACTTGATGTTCTTTTGGATCTTTCTCAAGGAATGACTACATCTAATTCTTGCATCGATATGGCCTTCGGACAAAATGTGAACTACATTTCGTGCAGTAAGCTATCATAGACCCATCTTAGCACAATTAATTACCAACCTCCTCAACACACTGATGTAACTACAAACTAAGCACTCTGGGTAATTTCAATAACAGTGTACTGTACATATAGTAATGTTTCAATAAAACTTCAATTTTAATGTACAAAGTACATTTCTTCCAACAAAAATCCCGATGTAATAACGTTTTCAACGTCAATCCTGTTAACCAAGGTTCCACAATCATTTTTCCTAAGGTCACACCACAGATATATTTTGGATGCTTTCCTAGTTTGAAAAACTTATCAAGAAATAGTGTTATCCTGTTGCACAAGCACTGCAATGTGCAGCTAGAATTGTTGAATTTATCTACTCAGCTACTATATATATAACTACAGGGTGACTGAAAAGTCGTGCACATCAAACTAAAAGCTGTTATAAATTGTATTGCAGTTAATATAATTATATCTTCTACCACTAGATGGTGCTGTAGGAGTACTAACAACGAGTAGAAATGCCATCTGTCATGTATCGGTCATATGACATCTGCAGTGTAGCTTTGTTTATTGTGTGACAGACATGTCGTTTTCCCAGGAACAACGAATTTTCATTGTGGCAACCATGGAACCGAAGAGTCTGATTGGGTTTTCTTCACTGATGAAGCGTGGTTTCACCTTAGAGGCTACGTGAATAGTCAAAACAACAGGATTTGGTCATCTGAAAATGCACACGTGTTACATGAAAAGCCTTTGCACTGTCAGAAAATTGGAGTGTGGTGTGCCCTATGATGTCGTTGAATAGTGGGCCCAATTTTCTTTGAAACAACAGTGAACAGTCCAGTGTACCAAGAGATCATTACACAGTTTATTGTGCTTCTTGAAGTTGATGAACGTGAGTGTTGGTTGCAGCAAGATGGTGCCACATGTCACACATCTAATGAAACCATGCAGTTCTTGCACGAGTTTTTTGGCGTGGCGACCCTCAAATCTCATAGGCCCAAATCAATTTCAGTACTGCTGAACTCAGTAATGCAAATGTTTGAAATCTGTTTTACAGGACCCTTTCTAGGACTGATTATACTTCAGATATTTTTGAACTGGATAAAAATGGCGATCCACAGAACAATTTTATTTTCTTGGTGCCCACTCTACTGAACGGACATTTCTTCATGTGTAGTCTGGATCCATGCAAATATTTTTGTCTCTGTTGGAACACCCAACTCTGTGGTTTCTGGGGGTAAATGGAACAATCTCATGATGTAGGATACTCACATTGTTTGGGTATCCTGAGAGACTCGTTATCCTGTACAACAACTTCATGGACATGACTGTGGAAGAGATAATGCACTAGCAGCAACTTCTCTTCACCCACACAAGGATCATAGAACCCAGGCAACTGACTCTGCACAGAAAGTAACAACCTAGGAATCAATCAACTTAAATCACTTGAAATCAAGAGTATTAATATCGCAACATTTTTACGCTGGTATAATGCCCACTGAAAATTCAAGAGAAAGTATGTTCGTGTGTTTTTTCCTCTACCCCATCATTTCCCCTTCTCTTTTACATTAAAATAGTTTAGGTAAACACCATTCACAACATGCTGTTACAGGAGAATGAAAGTCTTTTCTAAGAGCCCATCACTGGACCCTATCCTCAGAAAGTGCAATCCCATTCACATGTTCACAACCCATTTCTCTAAGATCCATTTTAGAACTATTCTCTCACTTAACTGAAGCCTCCAGGTCATTTCTTCATGATGCAAAAGGTGACAAAAGTGAAGTTGTCATGCAATTAAGCACCATGCTATGAAGAATCATGGAGAAATGGAGATATAGCTCCATGCATTCTTAAATTTTTAGCACTAGATGTGAGTGGTCAGCTTCATTGCCCTGGACATGTAATCGATGGAGAAGCAGCCTCAGTACTGATTGGATGGGAGGCAAGGTGGGCCCCTGAGCCAGTTTGGATGCTGTGGTTAAGAGAAGGATTTCTTGCCCCATTGAGAATCAACCCTTGATGCCGTGATCATCCAGTCTGTAGCTTAGTTACTGTACGGTTGAACTATGCCAGCTCCCTTCTTTGTTGCACTTGTTGGTTTGGATAGTTCAGTAAATTAAGCAGAGAGGCTGCAGCTTTCCTTCATTTTGACACAACATACCTTGGATGCTTCATGCAGCACGAGTTTGGCATCCTTAACAAGGCACTGGAGTGGAATCATTACATCAATCACCTCATCCAAGTACTCTGGTTCAGTACTGCTACCCGCTTCTCCAGCCCCACTTGTGCTGACACCAGGGACATTCACTAATCGTCCATACAGAGCCTTTATGATAACTAGGCCCCTCTTTGCCTCTTCATCGCTCCGTACACGAGCAAACGTGGCTCGCATCAGCTCCACCGCTGCCTGTGCCTCTCTCTTCTTCTCTGCCATTCTATTAGAGAACAAGACTGCACAATTAACAGGAACATTTGGCAGGCAGAATTACTAATGATACACTAACATCTGTGTTTACTTATTTAATACAATAAACATTTTCTAACAATTTGAAGAGTATGGTCTTCCGGAGACAGGCCAAAATATCGGAAATGAGGATCACACACACTTCATAATCACTGCCATGTAAACCTCAAACCCAATATTTTATGTATTTATTCGAATAAGTATTTATGCTCTTACATAAAACTATATTGTAACATGTATAGCCGTTGCTATGCAACGATCATGAGACGGGCAGTTATATCATACCCGTTTCTTGGCAGTGGCTTGGTAAACATGTTCCCACAGCAATGGTTACACATGCAACAGTGGAAACGTTGTTTACGCAGTCTGTGCTGGGTGGCTATAAGGAAGAAAACTGGGGCCACCCAATTAATTGTCAGTTTTCAGTTGACAGTTGAGTTTTGCATGGGAGGCTGTTAAGACAGAACCTGAGCACATAAAACGGTCCAGTTTCATAAACATATCTTCCATCATCCTCACAGACAGGTGGGAGTAGCACTTATAAATGGACTGTCACTAGAGGAAGGGATGTTATGCAGTGTTGCCAGAATATCTCCTACTAACACCAAAAGTATACCTTGTTTTGTTCAGTTCACGCTGTTTTTCCTTATCTCGCTTCTTCTGTTCATGAACAATTGGGTCCACTATCAGCTTCTTCACAACAGCCCAAACAATGACTGGAGTCACAGTAGCATAGAACACTGGGCTGGGAATCAGCTCATCACTCAAGCGAATAGGGAAGATGTATGTCTGATTCGCTCGACTCAGTCTGAATCAAAGAAATACCCATCATACATAAATATCCAGCTCCTCAGCTGAGATGCTTTTTTTTTGGGGGGGGGGGTAAAGCTAGCCCTGTAAGAGGCCGTGGAGGCCCATAGTGTTGTGAGACGTTGAGGCTCTCTCATTTTCAAGACAGTCAGCCTTAGGCACCAACCGCCCTTTACCCCTACGAAGATTCCTGGTACTCATTTCTGTTAGAGACTGAGTTGACGCCAGGGCCTCAGTGTGGCTTGAAGCATTACATGCATTGAAAAATCCAATGACCTCGTCGGGAATCGAACCCATGACCATCTGACTTGTAGTGTAATGCCTTAACCAACTACGCTACCGCATGTCCTGATGCTTAAGGAGTATAACACGAAAAAGATCAAATGAAGTTAGGGAATGGGTAAAAGCCAAAAGAATTGCAAGGCACTGCAGAAGATATAACAAGTAAAACAAAACCAAAAAATCCGTGGTTTTAGTCTGCAAGCAAACTATACCAACCAAGCGACCGACGCTTTAGTGGATAGAGGGTGTTGCGTGGTCAGCGCAATGAATCCCCACGGCCGTTATTTTCGGTTTTCTAGACCGGAGATATAACAACTTCAAACATAAAAAACCACAGAATTTTTAAGAATTAGAAATGAAGGAGAGATGGCCAATATATCATCAAAGTATCTCATGCATCTGCTTTCTCTTAAAACCTTCAGAGAGCTCGCACAATATTGTGTAAAATCATCAACTACAAATAGAAGCCATGCATATTCGCTGTGTTCCTGTTACAGCCTACTTACTTGATTTTCAGTGTTACACCAGACGGAATGCCAACAGCCACTGAGGCAGCCAACCAACTATGTTGAGACACCTTTTTCTCAGCTCCATACTCCACTACTGCGCCAAATGTTCCTGCCCTGGAATATGCAGTACCTCTATGAACTTGAAGCATGGGAATCTGCATCACAGTGCCTTTCCTCCTCTGTTGCTCACATCTTATTTTATTTTTAATTCGAAGCCTGATGCTGTGGATATATCTATATAATGATTTCTCTGAGGATCAGTGGATCTGAACAGTGAACTCATGAAAATTTTAAATGGAGGTAATAGTCTCTGAGATCACTGACTTTGGACCACTGAAAATGAATATTAAATGATGGAAAATGTTACATCATGAAACATTACATAGGGATTTCACTGAATACAGTGAACTTCATTATCTGGCATGTATGAGAAATGGGATGTACTGATTATATGAACCTGAAACCTGTGTCATTAAAACTCATAATTAACCCAACACAATGAAAATACATTTTCTTGCTTTAGTTCTTGCATGAGACTTCTGAAGCAACACAGCAGATTGAAGGGTGAAAGATTTCAGATATGTACACTTGCAATGTGATCATAAATTCAACTAGCCTATACTGTAATGGCACAGGTGTGAGGGAAGGCAATAGGTAGCATCAATAGTGGCATTTTCGAGAACTACTGCGTGACAGGACATATGTGCTTCACAAAACTGATTGTACAGTAACTTTATATAAATGGTATCTTTCTTTGAAATCTATGTTGGCTGGAACAGAATTCCAAATGCTTGGAAACCAGGTGACTGGGAATTTACTGCATATAACAGGCATGTCCAACGTGTCGATCACAGGACAATTTTTGGTCAATCTCATGGGCCTATAAGGAAATTATATGTGAAAAGCATATAAATTCACTTGTAATATAAAATAAGAAAGAGATCATAGCTACTATTGAAGATTTTTTAATTATCAAGAAACACCACTGTGCGGCAAATAGAAATGATGTGTGGATACATAACTGAACAGTTGCTGAAAGATGTTTCCAATTGTGTTGTTTTCTCCCTCCAACTGGATGAATCTACACACATCAGAGACACAGCGCAGTTACTAGTTGCTTTTACAGCAAACATCATGTGTCGTGTTATTTTTACCAACATTTTTGCGAGATATGACGATAGGAGGAGGTGGTAGATCACTGGCAGTTTTGACACTAAAGAGTTGATCACAACCTGTCTGATGTTGGACATGCCTGGTATATAACAATGTAACGTTTCAGTTAGTTTGTTAGTTGCCTGTTTCCTACTGTGCATGCCCACCTCATAGAGAACATGTACTAAATACTCATGCCAATCTGCACTGCAGCTACAACTGTTAAGACCATGTACAAACTGTATACTTCCCAGTGTGATTCTGATCCTTCCAGGATGCAGTGGATAAGAGGCTGGGTGGGTCCCAAGCCTTTCTGAATGTGCTGGGATGAGACAAATCCAGGGGATTGAACCCTGATTCAGTGGTTGTCCATCCCCATATTCCAGTCGCTACGACTGAGTTAGCCTGGCCCCTCAGTCAATATAGCAATGGACATACAGAAATTATGTTCCTCATGTGTCACATGTAAATGCATTCCTGATACATCCGAAGATGCCGCATGCTGTGTGGTGAACCCACTTGATTGATCCCCGCAACTTGAGCTCCATTTCCTCGAGTTTGTGTGTGTAGCTCAAGGAAAAAAAGGAGTGGGGAATGCCAAACTGCATGCTGAAAGCTGCATGTGATGTCGTGTTGTCCCGCACTATCGTTGTGGACATGGATGAATGAGTTCCAGCTCGCCATGTCAAGTAGCCCACCGTGTGCTTATCCAACTGGGTTGCCAGTGCTGAAACCACATCCAGATTTTCATAATCATATTTAAATGGATGACAAAAATCTATACAACTGATTGAAAATGCTGGTTATGCAAAAGCAGTTATCATTACCATCGCCATCAACTATGGAGGGGACTTATGATAACCAGTATCAATTTGCTTAGGTATCCTGGTATGATTCTATCTGTTGTAAATTCCACCAGCTCCATGCAGGAAAGTCCCTCTTCAGAAGCTACTGGTTACCTACTTACTAAAGAAATTCCCTGTCTTTTATGGAACCCAAAGGTTCATTACCATTCAAAAACAATGTTGCCACATGTAGGGGGTACGTATGATTGATACTGTGAGTTCTAGATTAGATTGATTGGATCTATTAGGCATCTCCATTACACTTTCACCAAATTACAACAGTTCAAATGTCTGACTCCTTCTGGATAACGAATCTCTCACTGTTGTCTGGATCTTGTACTAGCCTCTAGTCTTCTCTTCTTTGTCCTCCTGTGTTCTTCTGTCTTATTCTGTCCTCTTTTGGTCAGTTATATCCCTGAGGTAGGTTCTGGTTGAACTGCATGGAGATCACCTACTTGAAGGTTTCTCTTTTTGTGTCTCCGATGTTAATTGCCCATTTCTCTATCTGTTGCCTAGGAGACGCCTTCAATCGTTCCTCTGTTGTCATGATCATTGAGACCTTTGCCAGTAAGTAACCCAAGTTCTATTGTTGACCGTGTTACATGGGATTTTCTGGTTCAATATCTTAATGCTTTGAGCAACCCGTCACAATATTAAAACCAGTTGTGTTGTATGGATATGAAACATGGTCCAAGACTGAATAGGATAGAATTATGTTCAATACATTGGACAGGAAAATTCTTAGGAAGGTGTATGAACCAGTAACTGAACAAGGGGTTTGGAGAATGCTGAGGGAATGCCAAAAAACCCTGATCTGGCAAAAGGTAAAGTTGTCCCTAGGCTTAACCAATTAAGTGCCGTGCCATGAAGACGTATGGGGAGGAGTGAAGGTATAGCTCAAATATGGAGGTGAGTGGTCAGCTTCACACCCCAGGAAATAGCTCCCAGTACCCAGAGGATAGGAGGCTGGTCTGGACACTATGGAGTAGAGAAAAACTTTGCCCCTGCTGGCAATCAAATCCTGGCCATCCAGCCCATAGCTATACTGACCTAGCCCAATGATCTGGTAGTATATATCAAAAGAAGGACAGAATAGTTGAGGCATGGATGATAAAGGACTGAACCAGGGAGGATAAGAAAAGTCTATAAAGAAGAAAAGTGGGAAGACCCAGAATGAGATGAATGCAGAGAATGATTTATGGGAGCTGAGTGGTAGAGAAGGGGGTAAACGTTAAATAATAGAGAAGTAAAAGCATTTGTGATAAATGAGACCAAAGTTCTCAAATGCAGAGAGAGCAAGTAAATGAGTGAAAATTCATTATCTGCTCATAACAGCCTACCACTGGTTCCTATCCTAAGTCAAATTAATCCAATCCACACCATATCAGCCTATTTCTTTTAACTCAATTTTAATATTATCCTCCCACCTATGCCTAGGTCTTCCTAATGGTCTCTTCAACTTTTTTCTACACACATTCTACAAAACCAGTGTGATGAAGTTCAAATGTAACTCTGTATGGTAAGAATTTACAGAACTTAGTACAACAAGAATACCGATGCAACATTTCTGATCTGGTAATTTTTACAGTTATATTTAAGAGTCGGGATAGCTCTCATATGAATGCAGAGTAACAGAACAGTTTGTGACAAAAAAAAGGGGGGGGGGTTCTCTAATCATAATTTCAAAGTTTATCACACTTACTAGTGACAATATCTGGCCGTATTCCATGGGGTGTAAAGTGGAAGACGGTGGCCATGTTACTGAATGTTCGTTTAGTGAGTGTACGAAATCCCTTCAGTGTGAATGTGGGTCCATTCCCGGCCCCCAAATCCACTTCCAGCCAGCCTTTCTCAGACAGCAGACGACGCAGAGACACCACCACAGAGCCGGTCCCTGTTCCATTCTGCGTCGAGAGCTGACCAGACATCGTCATTGTATCACGCAGCGTAAGAGGAGCCTCAATAGACTGTGTGATTGACATCCCACTGACCTCAACAGTCGGGAAGTGCACATTTTCGCTACAAACACATGACAGGATTATTTTCAAACAAAATTTTAACATGTTCTTTCAAAGTCTAATTGTTGAAGTTCAGTACATAAAGTAGTGTACAGTGGGAGGTCCCATATCCGTCTGAAAGTTAAGAAATTCTGATTAAACTAGAGTAAAAGCAGAAGTTGGAGAAATATAATTTCGATTTCTCAGTTCACTTTGCACAACGTGCAAACCGTACAAAAAAACTGGGAGAACTGAACCAGCATGAAAAGAAAAAGTTAGAAAAATTGGTATATAACATAACATTTGCGCCTCAAATGGTAGAAGTAAACTTACCTCTATCAACCCTTGCACCCTGTACACTGGATTACTTCATCTGTGCATAAGAATTGCATTTTTTCATTACCAATACCATTACTTCAGAGTAAAACTATAGCCACCAGCCCTGTAAATCCAGAAGATATAGAACCCCCTACTACCAGATGATCAACTGCTACCCTTGAATTATAATACTGCAACAAATCCCACATTACCATGATCTCTTAAACCTCTAATCTTGAATAGCACACCAGTGACTATATGTCCCACCTGTTTTAATGTTCTGTGTTCTGTCCACACAGTGTGCTTATATGCCACCTATGATTGTGATAGTAAACAGTAACAATTTCTCCAAACAGCATAAACCGGGTTGGCCTTTGCAATGGAGAATGTACATTATATGAGGTATAGACTCAATCTGTAAATATTATTTAGATGAACCTCAAGCTTCAGAGGGTTAAACATTAGGGCACTGGGGTGTGTACGGACTCGGGTGGGTGTCAAGTGGTCACCTCCACACTGCAACTGCTTTCCCTCCAAGAAGTTTTCAGAATCAATTTGTCTGGAGGCTTGACAATTACAGTTCCTTTCTCCCCCTCTGAAGTTCATGTGAACATTTATTTGTCTATTAATAGTTAAGTGGGTAGCTCAGTACAGTAACTTGGCTAGAGATTGTCAAATTCGCATCTGACTCTCTTCACCGTTGCATCCATCCTATGCAATGATGTCCTTTCCTGGAGGTTAACAAAGTGGGCTGATGCTGACCACTAACTAACGTCCATCTAGCGCTAAAGGTTAAGAAAGACTAGAGCTATATATCTCTATAGGAAGGCTAGAGCTCAACAAGGGCTACAACTTGTTTATGTGTATGTATACAAGAACATTGTATGATGATGTGGTGAATTATACCCTGTCCTAAGCGTCTAAAGCCTACTCACTGGTCTTCCGAATGAAGACATGGAGATGCAGGCTTAAAAGAAAATGTATAGACATACAGTTCTGAGTTAAATAAATGGGCATGAATATGAGGACATTCTTGTTGCTACCTAATGACAACTCTACATTCCTAACCCAGAACTGAACAACAAACAGTTCACAAATTGCAAATGCTTAGGAACATAGATCCTTTCATCTCAGAGGGGACATCAATTAAATAACTCACTCACTCATGCAGCTGAACCCTTCTTGAGAAGCCATCAATTATGCAGACAATCAAGAACTTTCCAGCATTTGATGGAAACTGAAGGTTCTTTAGTGTTCACAAGAGCCTTCCACTGATCCTTATCCTGAGCCAGATCAATCCAATCCATACCATCCCATCCTATCTCACCTATAACTTGGTCTTTCTAGTTGTCTCTTTCCTTCTGGCTTTCCTACCAATATCCTACATGCATTCCTCTTTGTCTCCATTTGTGCTACACGCCCTGCCCATCTCATCCCATCTTATCCTCCTTGACTTGATCATTCTAATTATACCTGGAGAAGAATATGAGTTATGAAGGTCCTCATTATGCAGTTTCCTCCAACCTCCTGTCACTTCATCTCCCTTCGACCTAAATATTCTCCTCAACACCCTGTTCTCTAACACCCTCAGTTTATGTTCTTCCCTTGATGTAAGAGACCAAGTTTGACACCCATACAGAACCACAGGAAAAATTATGGTTTTGTATAAATTCTTATGCTTTTATACAGCAGACGAGAAGACATAAGGTTCTGGACTGAATCCCAGCACACCTGACAGCAATCCAAATCCAATCATGGCACACTTATTTTGGGTACTCTTTTCCTTACCTATCATCATAGGCAAGGTCATCCTTGTATCTACTAAAAAGGTCCGTAGCATTAATATGAACTGTCACACTTCCTTTTGGGTTCGTCCTTTGCTGCAACTTTCTTTCATCTCTCTCTCTAGAAAAAATAATACACATGATGAAAACATCTGTCTCATTCTGCTTACACATTCACATGTTTATTTTCTCGCAAATATAATGGTAAACGAGTTTCATTTCACTGTTATGCACATATAAAACACATTAATGAGCAAAATATGATAAATGGGAATAACAACTGAAGGTAGCAACAGTTTAATATAAGTATTTCTCGCAGCAGGGTGGTGCAAGAAGGCAGCAGTAGATACTGTACTTGATTTGGATCAAGATCCCTGTGTAAATGAAGTGAATCTGTGTGCAAATTGTTTTAAATTGAAGGACTATTTAAAAGTGGTTACAAGTGAATTAAAATCTGCACAGCAGATAATCAGGATCTTATATGAAGATATAATAAATACTAATAACCACAATAAACAGGATAACCTATCAAATGTGAGTTACAAAAATAAGAAAATAGGTACAAGAAATACAAAAAACTGTAATAATGGGAGATAGCTATGCAAGAGGATTGGCCACGAAACTGAAGTATAGATTAAACCATGAATTTGAAATACAGGGTATCATAAAACTTGGATCTGCTCTAGGAAATTTGGTGAAAACGAAGTCCTTGGATTTAAAAACTTTAACTAGGAGAGATGTTTGTTTGGTATGAGGAGGTACAAATTATGTTGGGAGAAATGAGACCAATGTGTGTATTTGTGCGCTGAATGACTTTGTAAGTTCACATGAACATACTAATGTTATTATGCTAAATATTCCCCACAGACATGATCTTGCACGTGACTTGTGTGTATTATGAAGTTAAGGTATTTAACAGGAAACTAGAAAGACAGAGAAAAGTGCATGAAAGTTTGTCAGCAATAACTGTGGACGTAGATAGGGATTTATATACAAGGCACGGTTTTCACTTAAACGCTAAAGGGAAGGACCAAACAGCAAATAGATTGTTGTTGACTTGTAGTGTTTAGATGGTTTTAACTGACTTGTCCAACTGTACATGTGTAAGAGTTTATGGAAGTTAAATAAACTGGGAATGTAAAAGCAATAGGCAGAAAGCCTCATGTAATATTTCAGAATGTTGCATACGCAGTATACTTGGTGATCCTTCCACATTACCTTGCTAATCTTTCGTATTCTTCTCTTATTTCCTGAGGTGTTTTGGTTCGCTGAACTATTTCCCATCCCTCTGTTTCCAATCCATGAGTCCCAAGACTGTCATAGATTGCTCTTTGATGTGGATCACCCAAAACTACACAGACAGTTAAAATGCCAATGAAAGAAACCAGCATTACATTCAGGCTGATGCAACATAATATTTTGCAGAAGAAATATTTTAAATAATTTTTGGCATTTTTGTAATGTTTATTACTGGAGGAACGTACTACCTCTGTTTCAACGAGATAATATCAAAAGCTGTGTAAATACTTACGGCACTCACTTCTTACCTTCATACGCTTTCTTAGTCTTGTTGAAAAGAATTTCCGCTTCTTTCTTACGGATGGGATCGACATGCTTATCGGGATGATACAGGCGACTGCTTCGACGATAAGCATTACTGATCTCTTCCTGTGTTGCCTGCATAAGAAAATAAACATATAATGAAAATCAAAATTAACCTCTTCGCCGGTGCCAGAAACCATTTTTTTTTTAAATCTGAAATATGGAATCACAAACTGGTAATTTGATACATATATTGTGGATTGGTATTACTGTAGCTTACATCTCTTGGAATATTAAAGAACGTATAATAATCTTCTTCAATTAACGCTCCAGCATCATCATTTTCCTCCATTCTGCTTAGTGTAAATATATAGTTCCCCTTAGGTTATGCACGGTTATTAACTAGTTTAACAGACCGGTAATGAAGAACACATGGTTCGAAATTACATCTTTTAATCTTTGTCTCTAATCTCTACTCTCTGGTATCGAAATATTCGGGCTGTAACATTAACTTGCACATCGTTGCACATGGCTGACTGCATCTGTTTATATCAGTATATGGCGCCATAATTATTGAAAATGGCTGCTCAAGCTACAGATCAAGTTGAAGAGGAGGCGGCGGATTTGCAATTTCCTAAAGGTAATTATAAGCCCATATTTAAATGAGGTATAAAATTTTGTGATGATGGTATATTAATACAGTTATTATGTTTCTGGACATATCCATCTTTCTGTTTGTATTTAAAACAACGTTTCGGGGACTGGATTTTGTCTCCGCCTTCAGGTGGAACCTACTTATTTGAGCGAAATCGGTAGAGTTATAGAGCTTATATTTATTTTTCATTGGTCCCTGATTAACTTCTTGTGTGTATTGATTTATTATGGCCAGTTTTACAACGAAATTGCAGTTTGCAGAAGCTGGTATGAATTATTAAATTCATATTCCATTGTGCACAGTAATAACATCAATAAACAGTTCATATTCGAATTTTTTAGTGATTTATTTTGCCGGAACAAGAGGAATAGCTCCATTTGGTACATCTTGTTTACAGACTGGCTGCGTGTGATGGGACAGGACACCAGTGTGACCTCTATATGTTATATATGTTCTTCGATCCTCCGTGAACCATATATATGTTGTGCTGACTGTAATAATGCTGTGGAGATTTGTCCTTCATGCTTTTCAATTGGAGCTGAGCGTGAACTTCACAAGAACTGCCATCAGTACATTATCGTGAAAAATGAGTTCCCGCTGTATGAAGGATCAACTTGGGCAGCAAATGAAGAAATTGAACTATTGGATGCAGTGTTCGAATGTGGGCTGGGGAATTGGAGCGATATTTCTCGCCGTTTGCAGACTCGGTCAGCACAGGAATGTAAGAAACATTATGTAACATTCTACATTGATAATCCAGTACCTGAGCTTCCAAGATTCAAGCAACACATTCAACCAGTGACCTCAGAAGCACCCTTTGAATATCGACCTTTGGAAATGGAGGAGCCCCCTCGATATTTGCCTGGTTCCAATAGGTATCGTGCTCTGGGAGGATATAATGCAGCAAGGGGTGACTTTGATATTGAATATGATAACTATGCTGAGACTTATGTTTCACAGTTGGATTTCAGTACATTTGAGCCTGAGGATCCCTACTATGAGATTGGAACTGCCTTACAGACAGCTATAGTGAGCATGTACAATGTGCGACTCCGAGAGAGAGAAAGGCGGAAACGAGTGGTTCGAAACCACGGTTTGATTGTTTTGCGAAAGACCTTGTCAGGTCTGATTCGTTATGAAAGAACTGTGACGCGGACGAATGCAGAACGACTACTGTTATTTATGCAGTTGATGCCGGGTATTGATTTTGACTATATAATGGAGGGGTTGCATCATGCGGGTGAACTGCGGCAGTACATTCTTCGTCTCCAAGATCTCCGGGAGAATGGAATCACACATTTCCACAGCTGTCGTCTGTTTAGGAAGCTGCTTCGCATCAGAGTGGCACACCGCAAAGAGCGACGACTGTTGCAGTCCTATCCCACAAGCTCCTGGCCATCCTTCACTGACTCAGTGCCAGCCCTCAGCCCTGTTATTAAAGCTTTTCCGAATGTTTCTACTAGACCCCTTCCCCCACCATTAGACATAGTTGGTCTGCCAGGCTATGAACGACTGTCAGCAGCTGAACGCCAACTCTGTTCTGTCACAAGATTAGTGCCTGAGTCATACCTGGAGTTCCAGCGGATCCTCGTGGCAGAGTGCAAGAGAAACTTGGGTCTGAAGCTAGCCCAGGCAAGAACGCTCATCAAGATCGATGTGAACAAGACAAGGAAGCTCTATGATTTCCTGTTGAAGGAGGGCTTCATATGGAACCCAGCCTAGTGTTGGTGTATGTTCACTTTGCTTCCCAGCATTCTGAAAGCTGATGATGTGATTGATGAGTTTACAGTTGGCCCTCTGATTTGCACAATCGTCATGTTCCCAAGAGAGGTTTTGCGACTCAAACATTTTCTCGTTCATTTGGTTTTCACTGAGAAATATATAATTAAGTTAATGTTTATAAGACTTTTGATCTTTGGTTCAGTGTATTGCACAGTCCAGCTGGCTGAAAGCCATATTTCTTCGGTATTAAATACCATGACATCAAGATTAAAATGTGGCCGCCAAGCACACAGAAACCAGAGACGTAAAATCTACTTTTGCCTCGTGAAACACTGCAAATCCCTAAATAAAATATGGCCATCACGTGTGTAGTGCTGGGAAATGTGAACCCCCAGATTCCAGATGATAAATGTTGGCTGAACACTATTCTTTTGAGATGTTTACAGTTCGTAACTGTTTGTTCTTGTTTTAGGCAGATATTTTTATTAATTTTATTCTTTATGGAAACCAATTAAGTGAACCTTCTTGTGTTCACTACAAGAGCTCTTCTACTACCCAGATAAGAATTTACTGCCATATTATGATCACGCGTGCTGTCTGTATGATTTGACTGGTAAGAGCTTTGTACTTTTCCATATCAGTGTTCTCCTCTTTTTAATTTTCACACAGACTGGCCTGTAGCTGGTACAAATGAGCCTATTTACAGTTAAAGTAGATGTGAAAAGGTTAAAATGGTTCACACCTCAAAGAAATGTTTGTAAGATTGGAGATGGGGTTGTTGTGTATTGGAAATCTGGTACCCTTCAGAAATAGTGGTTTCATTACTATCAGCAAGTCTCCCAACAAAACAGTATTCATGTCAGATGAAACACAGGGGCTGTCTTGGTGCAGAGTTTGAGAATGCAGAGACCCTACTCATTTCGGAGGTTCACATGTTGCTTGAGCATCGGAAGGCGCAGAATGAGAGCGCAGAGGAAGAACAGGAGTTCTCCGAGGTGTTCATGAAGACCCTGACCTACACCAACCGTTTCCGCAAGTTCAAGAACAAGGAAACAATTTCATCTGTTCGAAAGTAAGCTTCAGTGTTCACATGTGTGTACCTAGTAACAAGTGGTTAAGGGTATATACCGTATTTACGCATGTATAGGCCACACATTTTTTGCCAAAAATTCAAGAGGAAAACTGGGGTGGAGCTTATATTCGAAATATTCGAAATCACACTTCATTTAAAAAAATTAACGTTGCCAAATTTCGGAATAATTTCTACTCCTGAAATAATATTCCAAGAAAATTATTTTTTCTATAATTTCTGTCTGAAAATTGTGCTGCGGCCTATACACGCACGCGGCCTATACATGCGTAAATACGGTAATTTGAGGCTTGGTACATAGGTTGTCCAGAAAGTGAATACCATTTGGTGATCCAAAAAGAAAGAAAAAAGGAATACAACTAAAAAATATTTTACATCATTACTGTAGACCTTAAATCATTTTTCTACATAATTCCCATGAAGATTTAGACACTTATCTTATTGCGTGTCTAGTTTCTGTATTCCTGCATTGTAAAAATCTACCCCCAGTCTTTAACCATCTTCTTTGCTTCTTCATCGCTACCCATTCGTGTGCCGCCCAAAAACTGCTTCAAGTGTGTGAACAAGTGAAAATTACTTGGAGCCAGGTTCAGACTCTAGGGATTAGAAAAAAGAAAGTTCCAAGCAAAATGCAATTGCTGTATGCAAACGGTATTTACTTTCTGGATGATCCCTGTATATCACTGACCTAGTAAGTTGGCTCAAGTGGTAACACTTCTGAATTATATTTGAGAGATGCCCAGTTTGAATCTTGGTTGTTATGTGTATCTGGTGGCTTTTCTCAAGTCCATTCAGGCAAATTCTGGGATAGTATATGAACAACAACTTCCTTCCAGATCCTTTACTGTGCATTAATCATATTCTCTTGATGCTGCATACCTTTAGCATACTTTTGACACCATCGTTAAATAAAACATAACTACATTAATAAAACTGTCTGTATGATATAGTTTCCCTGGTCCATGACAGATGACATTGCACTAAAGGTGAAGTTGTGCCTATGTTTAATTAAGCACTGTGCCATGAAGGCCAATGGGGGAGTGGAGGTATAGCTCCACCATTTGTGACCTTGGCACTAGGTGGTGGTGATTGGTCAGCTTCACGCCGTGGCTGCTTTACCCTTGGAGAAAGAGCCTCCGGCACCCATTGAGTAGGAGGCTGGGTAGGCTCTAGAGCCAGTCTGGATGATGTGAAATAGAGAAAAATCTTTTGCTCCTGCGAGAATTGAACCTGGGCCATCCAGTCCATCGCTATAGTGACTTCATTGTACTACTGAAGTTAACATAAAACTCGTTAAAATTCCAATGGGAAACTGATATTGTCAGTGTCATCACTGACTATGAGCTCAAAGTCTATTAAGAATACAATTTGTGTCTGCCCACAAGACATTTTGCCTATAAAAGCAAATTTTGCCAAGAACACCCAATCTGAATAACTTGAAAGGCCATGGAAGGACTGCTGCATAGCAAGGTACTAAACTCTGTAACATAGCAGTATGCACTAGGTGCTGCAGCTGTCTAGAGGTATGCTCTGAACTTTTTTGGGAGGCAGTGATGGACCCTCCAAAATCAACCCAGACATGCCTTCTACCACTGTTTATCTGCTGTCTTTTGCCCCTGTTTGTAACTTCTACCAGTTCTCCGTACTGATGCTTAGAGCAGTGAAATAGCAACTAATTTATATATATATGCAAGTTTGTATCAGTTGAAAACATTTGGCTCACTTGGCTGGTTGTTAAACTGTTGACCAAAGGTTTTTGTTCGATGATAAGTACTCCACCATATTGAGGAGGTCCTGTGCTTGAATCGTTAACATGGAAACCGGTTATGTGAAGTTTTCATGGTTCGTCACTCCTTCCATACAGATGCTTATGCAGAACTACAAATTAGGCCATGGTCGCTTCTTCCACATCTTTTCAAGCCTGTTATTATGTGACATACTGTACTATTATAATTGTTACGAAGCAAGAACATCCAATTGTTGAATGATACTGTTTCAGCTACAGAGGTTGTATAGTATGAAATGGAATGGGAAAATGGCTATGAGTGGTGGTGAGTGGATAATGATATGGGTGACGTTGCCATGTCCTCATATGAGTAAGGAAAGTAACAAAATGTAAGACTAAGATTTTGAACTGGATACCTCCTGCAATCTGCTCTGCAAGACAGAGAAAATGTCATATATGTTCATTGGATATTTGTATAATTTAAAGAGTGCCAAAATTGAAGATTGCTGTCGCCAGAGTATGACGCCTTGTGGGAGCCTGTTGCCTTCAACTCAGGGTAGAAGAGTTAAGCCATGTGGAAAGCCGCGGGTGCCGATCTAGGGGAAGGAGGAGAGGAAATGTGGCTCCAAATGGGCCAATGGGAGATGGTCTATCAAAGAACAAGGAAAAGAGATGAGAAAATATTCTTTTAAGGAGGAAGTACAAGGGGGAAATTTGTTGGTGCATCAAAAGAAGCACGCAGCAGGTCAGCCCCTGAAGTCCTAGGAGTGGGCTGACCAAATTGGTGTAGCGCTGATGCTCGAAGACTTGTATATCATGACTGCTTCTTCCCAGATCCTTTCACATTCTTCAGTCTTCCCACCATCTAGCACTATATAGCCCCAGTACTAAAAGTGTTGTTAAATAAGTGGCAACAGTGTACAAGAATGCAGCTGCATCTGTGCATCACAAACCAGAAAGGGCAGGTGCCCCATGTGTATGATGGGACACAAGTAACATTTGGCATGCACCTGTTGATCTTTTAAAATCTGAATTCTGAATTGTGAGTGCACTTGGCTGCAGTGATGCTTGTATAAATTACTTCACTCTCCTGCTTTCAGCTTGCTCATGCAGAAGAAGCTGCACAAATTTGAGCTTGCATCCCTTGCAAATCTGTGCCCAGAAACCCCTGAGGAGGCCAAGGCTCTCATACCCAGGTACAGTGGTATCATATCGGCAAACATGCACACCGCCCGGATATTTTTTTTTTGGGGGGGGGGTGGCTTAGAAAATCTGCCCACACACTTATGTTCAAGCAGTTTAAGAATACGAGGGAGAGTCAGTAAATAGGTCAGAAATGTAAGTGAAACAACTGTAATGGACATAATAGGCTTTCTGTGCGTGTCACTGCAGCAGCACAGTCCAGCTTCATGACAGTCTAGGTAGCAGATGCGAATACGCATGTTCAGGGGCTGATTTCAGTAGTCAAAATGGTGGCCGTGCTTGAGTGTACTACCTAAGAGTAGTGTTCTGTTATGTGTTTTTTGTGGCCAGAAGGATATAAAGAAATGTTTCCTGTTGAAAGTGTTAGTCGCATAAAGCAGTTCACAACTGGATCGAAAAACATGACGAACACTTTGCTGGTGACAAAGATGTCATAATGTAAGTGCGGAAGTGACTGAGATAATGGTTAAAGATTTCTATGATAAAGGTTTCAGTGCAGTGGACAAGTCTATCAGTGTTAGTGGAGGATATGTTGAGAAACAGATGTTTTTCCCAATTATGAATATCACATGTTTTATATCCATTTGTGACTTATATACTGACTCTCCCTCATATTTAAACAGAGTACCTAAGAGTTGTGTGGCTCAATAGGATAAAAGAATCGTTTTAATTTATGGTAATTATATCTGGTATATTCCATACATTTTTTTAATCCGGGGTTGAGGGAGCTGCCTGGATTGTATTGACATGCCTTATATTGTGGCATGGCTGTAGTACCACAACAGAGGGCCTGTGTTGTTCAAAATTTTTTTTATTATTCCTGTGTGTGGGATTCGGGTGTCTCGGTAGTGACAACGAAAGTTATTATTTTCTGGAATGTGGGGCATTTGAGTCCTGCAGGTATTTACCAACATTTTGGAAGAAGACAGAGCAGCAGGTTTCTCTGAGATCTAGGTAAATGTATGCCAGATTCACTGGTATAGCATCCCACAACACAGTGATATTTATTGTGTTTGGTCTGTTCTGTAGTTCCCTTTGGACTTGGATGTTGCATTTGTTCCTCTTTACAGTTGTCCCGTGCAACACACATGCATTTGAAATGGCTGGCTGGTCAGATAACAAGTGGCATTTATCATAAGTAGCCCCCCTGGTTATGTGCACCTCTGTAGTGATCATATTACTTATGTTGCAGCCTGGAGGGAAGGTTCGAGGATGAGGAACTAAGACAGATCCTGGACGACATCCAGACTAAACGGAGTTTGCAGTATTGAGTTGTGGTTATTGTGTACTGTCATTTCTTGATTTATGCAGTTTTGGTCGAACACAATTCAAGAATGTATACCACTTCTTAATTTACTTTATTTAAACTGTCACAATAATGTGATTGTATGATCAGCAACAGGCAACATGACAAAGGACCTTGTGGCATTGAAGATTGTGAAAACTG